TGTAAAAACCTGACAGGAGGAAGAGATTTGGCTATTTGGCCGTTTTAGAGAATATAAGTTAATTGTACTGCAATGTCAGCAGTGGGCACTTTGAAATATCTGTTGGTGATTGTTGATCATTTGACTGGATGGGTGGAAGCTTTTCTGTGTGTGAGTGTGAATGCACAAATGACTGTGAAGTTAATATTGGAACAGATATAGATATATAGATATGCATTGGTAGTGCATTGATAGTGATAGAGGTACACATTTTACTTTTCATGTGGTAAAGGGTATAAGGAAAGAATTGGAAATAGATTGGCAATAGACCTGTTGGGCCTTTCTACTATAAAACAAAACATTAAAGAAATTAATGTTAGAACTTCAATTACCCTGGATGAAATGTTTACCTCTAGCTCTATTGTGAGTGTGTACTTGTTGAAATTTCACTGTATGAAATGATGTTTGGAATACCTTATACTAGAAGTGTGGGTATGTCTAGAATTGTACTTATTTTTTTTAGAAAATATATACAGGGACTGTCCCAGTGTTTTTCTCTTTTAAGGTCTGAAGGACTTTTGGCACAACCACCGTTTGATTTCCAAGTGCATGATTTTAAGAGTGGAGACTGGGTCCTGATAAAGCAGTGGAGAGCTTTGGAAAGCTGAGGCCTATCTGGGAAGGACTGTTACAAGTACTGTTAACTACTGCGTCTGCTGTGCGGACATGTGGAGTGAGGTTGGACACATCATTCGTGTGTGCAGGGACTTGTGGATGCAGTTCCTGTTTCCAGTGGAAGCAGGCTTCAAAACGACTGGACTCTTTACTTTCTATATTTTTTAGATAGTGGGGATAGATAATTTGTCTAGTTTAGCTTAGGTTTATGGAACTTTGGGGGGAGGAGTTGATTATTTGGTTGAATGTAATACATTTTTTCCTTGTATTGTTGATTATTTTAAGACATGAAACAATAGATTGTTGTACACAGGTATTGTGTCCTCTGAGTGCGGAAGAAGATAAAGAAGTGGATGTAAGTCCCCAAAGACCGGTTGTAAGTTTTGAAGTTTAAAACTACATATGTTAAGGTGGGTGGGGGCCTAGAACATTTGTTAATATGATGTGGATAGTGATTATTGCCTTATGTGGGGTAGGAATGGAGGCTTCTGAGGTATTGCCTGATTATCCATTAACGTGGCAACAGCTATGTTTCCAAACTGAACCCGACAGTACAGAATATGAAGGGCAGATATCACTGACATTGATGAAACCTATGGCTGAGGCTGGAATCTGTATAAGATCCGCCTTGAATGATGGTTTGTATTTGAGAAAATACCCAATATGTAACCGCACATATGACATAAGGACTTGTCTATGAGGATGGAACAACTATATGATCGTTGTTTTGACATGTATGGCAATTATTCTCCTTCTTATATGAGATTTGGAGAAGGGATTATTTATGCCATTTATTGAATTAAGAAGTACTCTAATGAAGTTGATGTTTTTGTGTGACAGTTTAGCTAGTGTAAAATGTTCATTTAACTGGAAAGGTAGATGTACAGTTGGATGTCTTGAAGCACCAAGAGTTTTACGTAGAAGTGTAAGATACTGAAGGAAAAGAGCCTATTGCGAAAAGTGGAAATGTTTTTCTGGAATAAATGAGAGTAACTTTGAATAGTTTTTCTTTTTGTGTGAAAGGAGAGTCTACAGTTACAGACATCATGTCGACTTGTTTTATAGAAGTTCCAGTGCCAGGAAGATTTTTTTTATAGCAGAGTTTAAGATTATTATACACCCTGATGCTTATATTTTGTATAATTTGTCAAAGGTGATTACTTTGTTTGGATCTCTTGTGAAGCCAACTAAATGGAAATATTAGAAGTTGATCATTGAAGTTAAGACAGTTTTTCCAGCTTATGACTGTATTAAGTATAAACATCTAGATGACAAAACAATTTATACTTATTTGAAGGGGTTTTTTTTGTACAGAGGTTGAAGACGCAGGTAGAATGACACATGTGTTGTATTTACTTAGAGGTTGGTTTATGTTTTGTGGAGCATATGCATATGCATTTATAACAGTTAATACAATGCCTGTACAATTGGTTGTTTAATGACCATTATGGCAACTGCCCATGCTAAGAATATAAACAAAGAAATCAAATTATATTATGAGGTGCTGAACATGAATCTGTGGATGAACCTGTAAAGAAATATAGAGAAAAAAGATTAGTGTTTAGTGATGCTTCTTTTGCAGAATGTGATGATATGTAAGTTGTGTTTCAGCTCTTGGAAGCTTAAGAAAAATGGTTTGATGGTAGTTCTCAGGTGTAATGGTGATCACAGGTGATCAAAAGATGATCAAAAGAAAAACGGTGGGTTTGTTATATATAGAAATTTGCCATATACACCTGAGAATATAAAGAGCAAGCCTGAAGCCATATTTGTTCTCTGTGTGACTCGTTAGAGATCAGAACAGTCATGAAACATGTTTTGCTCGTGCTCTGTCTGGTTATGAAACCATTTGTTCTCTGGCTTAGGTTTATAAGATCATCTTGATATTATAGGAATATTAATGATCACTTGTGTAACCATTTGGAGAAAAACAAGACATATAATTATAATGAGAATGTTGGGAGTCTTCCATGAGAGGTTGGAACTTCCTTATGAAAACGTTGTATAACTTCTATGCATGGACAACAGGAAGTGTTATGTAACCATGTGATTTGATAAACCTATATAAGCTGTATTTACTAAATGGAAGCGTCTACTTCCTCCTAAATATGGTTGGTTTGGGAGTTGGGGGTCCAATACTGCAGTATCTTCCCTAATAAAGCATCCTATGGATTAGATTATCAAAAGTCTGTTGATTTATTTTTATGCAAATCTCATACATACATACATACATATTCAGACTATAAGGTGCTCTGAAGTATAAGATGCACCTAGCTTTTGGGGAGCAAAACAAGAAAAAAAAAATCTGCCTCTGCCTCCCAACAATTTGCCTCCTTGCAGCAAACAGCAAACAGCCTGGTCAGCTTCAGCACAGCCTGACTGAGCACAATCAGCTGATTATTGGTTGGATTGGCCTCCCCACTGTCCACTGTTTCAGTCTGTAGAGATAGCCATCACCTATTGTCGACCCCGCATGCCCCATTTTCAGCCTCTGTATCCTATTTTTGGCCTCCATGCACCCTGTTTTTGGCCCGTTCCTTCAACAATATTTCGTGTATAAGATGCACAGACATTTCCACCCACTTTGGGGGGGAAGTGTATCTTATACACCGAAAAATATGGTGTGTGTGTGTGTTTGTATGTATATGTATATGTATATGTATATGTATATGTATATGTATATGTGTATGTGTGTATGTATGTATGTATGTATGTATGTATGTATATATATATGTATGGTATTCAGCTTTGTTCGGGTATTTTCCCACGTCATTGTAGTTGTGCTTTTAAAGTTGTAGCAACGTTTCGACAGAATCTCATCTGCCATCATCAGGCTTCTGTATTGTGTCAGTCTGTGACTACCGTCTGTGGTAAAATACCCAAACAAAGCTGAATACCATACATGTAAGTACCCGCGAAAACTTAAGAAAAATATATATATATTTGTTTGTTTTCTTAAGTTTTTGTGGGTATTTATATGTATGGTATTCAGCTTTGTTCGGGTATTTTACCATGTCATTATAGTTGTGCTTTTAAAGTTGTAGCAACGTTTCAGCAGAATCTCATCTGCTATCATCAGGCTTCTGTATTGTGTTCGTCTCATTTTATATATATATATATTATATATATATAATTTGTTATAGTTATAGTTTTAGAAAGTTACACATGCACACACACACAGTTAGTTATAGTTTTAGAAAGTTAATCTAATGGTATGTGAGAAAGAACTTGAGAAAGACAAGTGGATTAAACAACCTGCAGCTGCATAATGAGAAACTGGCTCAGAAGGGGCCATATCCTAACTTCTCATCCTGTAAAGAGAGGTCGCGTGTGATATATTAATATCTCTTTGCCCAGTTTTTAGTAATTATAATATTGGGAATCTCCAAGTTAAATAATAAAAATGGGCTCTGGGAATATATGGATTCCTGAAAATACGGGCTGGGCACCCCTTCACTGAAGTTAAAAGGAAACTATTTCCATGGATTGAAGTTGAGGAGAATGTTGATACTGCTGATACCACTTATAACTTTATCCTTTGATGTTTCCTCCTCCTAAATTAATACAGCAGCATTTCAAAAAAGACAATAGCCAATAGCAATTATCTCAGGGAATTTTTGGCAATCAACATTATAATTTTCTCCACTGTAATTATTTTGATAAGCAGATATATTGTAACACATATTATATATTGGAGAAAAAGAATTGTGATACAGAACTCAAAAATCATTTGTTTTAAGCATTATGCAAGAAACAGATCAAACAACAAAGTTCTAAACCTTTAAAGCTAATTCCACCCTATTTAGTTAGTAAATGCTCTAGATATAGACATATACTACCTATGTAGTTTTCAAATTGTGTGGCAAAAAAGGATTAGAGTTACATGAAGGCCTCTTGGGTACATCTCAGTGAGAGGACTGGTAACAAACCAACAATTATTGATTTTGCTCACACTACTAATTTTTTTTTCTAGAAAATACAGCTGCAGTCAAGCTCTGGAAATTTTAGGTGACACGTGTTATACAGACAGAGACTAAAAACTTCATCAGTTTATTAGCAGCCTAGCCAAAGTACAACCTGGAATAGGTGGGCATAGTACTTCAATTTCCAAGAGGCAAATGTGCATCTTTTCCCAGCATTTTATTACAGCTGTGGAAAGGCAAGCTGCATGGTTTTAGGACAAAATGTAGTTGGTTTAAGAAGTTGTCAACAGATATTACAGAAGTATATTTTCACCATATGCTTCAAGGCATTCTATTTTCCTTTTCAAATTCAAAGCACAGCAAAGCCTTAATTATAGTTACAATTTATAATTATAATAAATTGTAAGTATAATTTCCTAATACTGTACCACATGTTAAATGCTCGGAGAATTGCTCAAAGATACACTCTAGATTAATGGTTAAGGGCAAAAGGTTCAGTTCATTTTGTACAATTTCTAAAAAGGTTAATGTCAAATGATGTCAATGATGTAATTTATGATCAATGAACAAATTAAACATAGAAAGGGTTTCCTAGAAATATGAAAACTGACACAACTACAACTAACCTTTGGTAACCCATACTGCTCAAGTGCACTTACTTCCATTTTTTACTGCATGACAAATCTGAAGACACATGGAATAGACAATGCAGGCTGCAGCAGAACTGTCCACACCACCACTAAGTGGCAAGAAAAATCCTCCCTTAACAATTACAATAAGGAAACCAAATTAGGACATTGTTGGGAACCATGTATTCAATTCTTCAGTTGTATCTTCAAACTGTTCATTTTATAGCTCAACATTACTTATTTCTAGCCACAATTATCCATGAATAGCCCATAATTATTAACATTCAAAATGAAGGTTACTGGTAATTTACAATTTTAAATCTATTTGAAAACAGATGTAGAAAATATTGTCTAAAATCCTGCAGCTGTAAAGTTAAGACAAGAAGGTTATTTGTATCAGTTTGTCTGAGACTACGGGTAGTCCTCAAGTTAGGACCACAATTGATCCCAAAACTTATGTTGTGAAGTAAGAAATTTGTTAAGTGAGTTTTGCTTCATTTTGCATGTTGTGAGTTTTGCCATATTTGTTAACTGAATCACAGCAGTTGTTAAATTAGTAACACTGTTGTTAAGTGAAGCTGGCTTCCCTATTGACTTTGCTTGTCAGAAGGTCACAAAAGGGGATCACATGATCTTGGGAGACTGCAAGCATCATAAATGTGAAACACATGACCATGGGGATGCTGCAAAGGTCGTAAGTGTGAAAAATGGTGATAAGTCACTTTTTTCAGTGCCATTGTAACTTCAAACAGTCACTAAGTGAACTGTTGTACGTCAAAGACTATCTGTGTCTACTATTTGGATCTTCTCTTTTCAGAGCTGTCTCTCTTAACAACGATAATTAAAGAGAGCCATTACATAAGAGTATGGAAGAATTGGTATTTGAATTGTTTTATATTCCCCTTCCCACCCTATCAGCCTTTCTGAATTATGACAAATAACCTCATAAAATATAAATTATGAGTGTCCTGGCAAGTGCACACTGCCTAAATATACTTTGTAAATATATTATCAGCACAATTAAATTTGTATACCAACTTATGGCAGCAATAGTATAGTTAACCGACTGTAGCATTTTTCCAAATTAAGCCTTTCTCGTTAAGCCTTGGAGCTTACTAAGTTTCCTGTCTCCACTCTCTATAAAGATTCTTTTAATTAGACAACAAGTCAATTAGAAACTACTAACTTCAGAGAAAAGCAGCAGACTAAAGCAGTTTATTTTGTAGATTTATCTTTAGATATCAAGCTTCAAAGTGTTTTCAAACTACTTTCACTTTTGAAAGGAATGTGTATTCCAGACAATAACAAGAAACTAGATCTTTCCAATAAACATCTGGACACCTAATTAGACCTACACTAATGGGGCGAAGGAAGATTCTATATTTTAATTATACTGAATTGCCTGGGAATTCCCTAAAACTGGTTTTTGCTTACGTGCTGTGCCGAAATGATGTACTCAATAAAGCTTTGCAGGGGTGTCAAACTCATGCCATCATAGGAGCATCATGTGACGTATCAGGAGTTTTTTCCCCTTCTGGCCAAGAGCTTGACAGCCCTGCATTAAGAGATTGGATCGTCTCATCAGTGCTTGCTGGGTTGGGTTGGTCAGTCGAAACCTACAGATATTAAAGGCATTTGATATCTCCAGATGATTATCACCGGGTAATTATTACTTAATTAAAAGGATGTTCATCTGTATAGTATAAAGATGAGTTCTGACGTAAGGAGTTTGCTACATTTCATGTATAGAGTTTATAAATACTCTCATAAATTGGAGTTACCTCCATTTATGAGAGTATGCATAGCATGCTCATAATTTCCAAATACAGTGGAACCTCTGTTCACAAACACTTCTGACCGCTACCAAATCGGGTTCCGACCAAAAAAACCCTGACATTTTTTAATTGGATCACGATTCAAAAATCGGATAGCGATCAAACACGGCCATGGCAGATTCCCTTTCCATGCCAATTTCCCTTTCTGCACTAATTTTTTTTGTAGGCGCATGCACAGTCTCACTTGCGGTCACTACCAAACCAGGTTCCAACCAAAGTTACGGAACGAATTACAGTCGTGACCGGACGTTCCACTGTATGCCTATTGACTCAAAGATTGGGGATCCCAGCTTTAAGTCATTAGCAGATGGGCAGTGCTGCAAACACCAGGCACCACTCATCACAATTCTAACTCATGATGCATTCACTTACTTCAAATTATGTTCAAAAATTTCAGCTGCAAAGCCACTAAGGCATTATCCCTTTGCTCAGGGTGAAACCTGAGCAAAAAAATATAAGGGTGTCAAACTCGATTTCATTGAGGGCTGCATCAGGGTTATTTGACCTTGGGGGGGCCGGGGGGGGGGGGCTTGACATCACTCGGCCCACCGAAGCTCCTTTTTTGCTGGTAGAGGACTGCAGGAGGCCATCGTGACTGAAAATGGAGCCTCTGAGGGCCATATGAGGACCTCCCAAGCTCTGTTTTCACTGGTAGAGGCATCTCAGGCCAGTCCTTCACTATTTCTAGGGAGGCCCCATGGGCCAGGTCTAAGCAACTAATCCTTGAGTGACACCTGCTCTAATAGGGAACTATGCTCTGTTGAAAGGCAGGCAGGTGTTTTGCCAATAGCAAAATGCCCATTCCCAAGCTCTTCCTGTGTAAACCAGTTTCAATTTCATTGCAACTGCTCTAGAGCCGCATCAAGCCGTCAAACAGATGATGTTGCAAGTGGTGAGTCATAAACAGCACAAAGGCAACATATATAGATCCACCGCTACTGCAAGTTCTACTTTATACATACACACAGAGACACACACCTTCCCTTCTTTCCCTAAATCTTCATACAGTTTTTACCATTGCTTAGAATTTGGGTCAATAAAAAAATTAAAATATTTACCTGTTTACTGCACCTTAAGTAGTCCCAAAGCCAACATGCTGGACCTAGGCTGAAATACAGCAGACATGTTTTAAAACAAATATTAAAAAGCACACTTTCACAAAATCATGTCATTTGTCTTCCTGGGATCACAAGCTACTGTCATTAATGTTTTATAGCAAAGCAATGCTCCTTTATTTATGTTGTGCACAATTATCCATTACATATAGCACAATTATGTAGGGGTTACTCAGAAGAAATTCCAAAGAGCTTAGGTTTTATTCAAAGTTCTTGTGCCCTCACTGCAGCTGAAGGTTCTTACTCTAAATGAAAATTCCTTCCTTCCAGAAAAGATAATTTCCAGAGGCATATGATACCATAGGGCAGAGTTCAGGGATGGGATTCAAAAAATCCCAACAACCGGTTCACTGCCCGGTTGGTGGATGGGCATGGCCACGGTGGGCGTGGCCTACCAGAACTTCCAGGAGGGCCATTTTTCGCCCTCCCAAGGTTCCAGAAGCCTTCCCTGGTCCTCTGGGAAGGCAAAAATGGTCTCCCCCGGGCTCTGGAGGTCCTCCAGAAGTTGGACTTCCAGAAGGCCTGTTTTTCCCCCTCCCAGAGCCTCCGCACAGACCCTGTACTTACCTGCATCGCGTGGAGACTCCTGAAAGGGGCGGAGCAGGGTGGGCTGGGCCAGCCGGTCAGTTGAAATACCGGTTCGGCAAACCAGATGAAAACTTAACGTCCGGTTCACCCGAACCGGTCTGAACCGGTAGAATCCCACCCCTGGTAGAGTTCCCCAATGTTTCCAGCTTTGCAGACCAGTGGAGGGAGGAGGGATGGTTCACACGAGTGGCTTACAAGTGCACACAAATGGAGAGAGTGTGCACACCTTCGCTCACTGCTTGCCCAAATGAGGATGCATGTCTGTGCATGCTCTCCAGTCATTTCTACAGCCCGCCAGCAAACCCCTCACAGCCCCCTCACCAGTGGACTCTGGCCCACAGGTTGGGTACCCCCTGCCATATGACATCATTTTATGCAAATTTAAATTGGGAATCTTTATGGATTATGCAGACATTGTACTAGTTATCTAGTTAAAACTAATTTGTAGTTAAACTCTTAGTTGTAATAAAGAAAATTGGCTAAGAAAGGATATTCCTCTCTCCTAATTCTGTCTATAAGATCATTCTTATAGAAAAGAAAAGCAGAATTAAGCTAAAAAGAATGAAGACGGAGTGGCTAAAGACTATAGGAATTACACCTAACCAACCAAATCTTCTACCAATTCTGAGTATATGCTGCTATGTCCCTCTGCTATCTATTCCCCCCCCCCCCCCCCCATAGCTTCCAGCCACATGTTCTTGGTGCAGGAAAAGTCATAGATAACCTATTTTGCCTACCTGATCTCCTCCTCAGGACTATGATACTTCCACTGAATAGATTCACTTGTAGGTGTGCATATATCATCGGAACTTGACAATGCAAAGTTTACTTTTATTCTAGGATAAGGAATCGCTTTGCTTGCCTGGTCAATTAAAAAAGAAAAATAAAGTCACACCACACAGACAATATTTTTCAGTAAAAGCAATGTACCTGACAATTCTGCTCCATGCTCGTTGTTTGTAAATGTGTGTTATGCCTGACACACATTGTTAAACATTCATTTATTTATAAATGAAAATGCGAGCAAGAAATTCTTACTGCTAAGTTTCGGGACGATATTTCTGCTCTATAACTTCTGACGTCTTCTAAATCCAAAGTGGCAACTAGGACTTCCTAAAAAAAAGTGAGAGAGAAATTAATACCCTTTGTTTTTGAAACCACTTTTTTTCACTAGAGGTCTATGGTGCAATTGTAGTTAATTAGTTATATAGTTGACATTGGAGGCACAGAATCACTTTGAGCTTTTTTAACCCCACTGATATTGATAAAATTCCTGTTGTGTGCCAACCCTCACAGATAAGAGTATTCCTGGAATACTGTATTGTATATTAAACAACATTATCAAGCATTGCACGCCTGCTAGAGCATTACTATGTCATCCAGTAAAAACTGATGTCCTTGAGCAACTGTAGCACCGTTCATAGATATCATGGCACATCCATCATAATACAAGCGATCACCATCACAGCCTTTTTGGTTTGCCAAGATGTAGATTCCTCCATTCTGGAAAACAAATGTATATTAGTGTAAATGCACGTGTTGCTAATTACAAGAGAATAGAATACTTTATTGGCCAAGTGTGATTGGACACACAAGGAATTTGTCTTGGTGTAAATACTCTCAGTATACATAAAAGAAAAGATACATTCGTTAAGAATCAAGAATCATAATGTACAACACTTAACGATAGTCACAGGGTACAATCAGCAATCAAATCATACTAGGAAACAATGAATATAAATCGTAAGGATACAAGCAACAGTTACGGTCATACAGTCACAAGTGGGAGGGGATGGGTGATAAGGAGCGATGAGAAGATTAACGGTAATAGTAGTGCAGAATACTACTTGTAATAGTTGAACAGTATTGAGGGAATTATTTGTTTAGCAGAGTGATGGCTTTCGGGGGAAAACTGTTGTTGTGTCTAGTTGTTCTGGTGTGCAGTGCCCTATAGCGTCGTTTTGAGGGAAGGAGTTGAAACAGTTTATGTCTGGGATGTGAGGGGGCTGTAAATATTTTCACAGCCCTTTTACAACCACCTTTTATTGTACTTTTAAACAGCAGAGGAACTGTTTTGCAATCTTATTCAGAATAGCATTAAGCATCACTATTTGGGCCATCACTGAAGTAATATGGCTATCCAGGGGCACAGTAATGTTGACTTTTATGTGAAAGCAAGCCAGTATATGCCAAAAATGCATTTTACTACATCAAAGCAATCGTGACTGTTTTAAGATTTGAAATCCTTTAATAGGTACAATGCAAATCTGTAACTGCAAACAGTTACTTTTCTACATAGAGATGATTTCTGGTGACAGAACTGTAAGAAGTTATAAGGAGAAGATGTACTGAACAGATAAATACCACAGTGTCCATGAGAGCCTCAGGTGGCAACAAGGACTCAGTTGGCACCTTCCTGGAGACAGAGTAACAATAATTTTAAAAATTACTACATATAATGTAAAAATATGCCAAGAACATACCTTTGCTGTTGCAGAATTTACCAACTCCACTCGAGTGTGTGCTTTTCTTAACACATGGTGACTTGCAGAGGAATTTGTGAAGATTTCCACACCATCAATTCCCATTTCAATGTGAGGGCTATAAAATAAATAGCAAGCAAATAAATAGCTTGTCTCCATGCTATCCAAAAGATTCATTTTATTATTATGACACACTGGAAACAGTAAAAGAACTGAGCTGTTAATGGAATTTGTAAACAACTAACCCAGCAGGAACATCCTGTTTGTTTGAAAAATACAAATTCAGTGAAATTATTGCCATTGATTGATTGATTGATTGTCTGACTTACTAACATTAATGGCAAGCCGAAGGTTAATTTTAATGGTATATTTGAGGGGTGGTGGTAGTGGTGTATGAAGTTAAAGATTCCTCCTCTTGTGCTACTGGAATTGTTCTATAAACCCAACCTGTAGTTAGTAGTGAAAGCTAAAGTAATTGGAGTCTCTAAGCAGCCAGCAACCAGCTTTGGAGAAAGCTGGCTCCCAGATACCATCAGAAGCTGGAGAATATGTTGGAGATATAGCAGCTTGGTCAGTCTTGGAAACCAGCTATTCAGCTATAGCAACGCCACAGATCATCTACTGTGAGGTGCAGAGTGAAAGCCTGGAAGCACCACCAATCAGCTGTCAGGTCTAAATTGCTGAGCATCAATGACAGTGGCACTGAAGATTTTTGTGGGAGCAGTAGACATATACCCAGTAGCATCTGTAGCTTTCTCATTTGTCAGAGGCGGTGATGTCAGCAATCACATGGCCTCAGTGTGCTGGAAACCTAGCATGCTTGGGTGCAATGTTCGAGCTCAAGAGGAAGTGGGTCATCTGGAGCAGTTGTCGCCAACCGGTGGGCCGCGAGAAAATTTTGGTGGGCCACAGAGAAATCTCACCCCCAGAGCACCCCCCCAAAGCAATTAATCCAGGCTGTGCAGAAATACAAGGCTGTGCTGTCCACATGGCCCGCAGGAACGCTCCCTGCCCACTCACTCCTTACCCGGCAAACTTGCCTGCTAAAATTAGTATTTTTCTTTTTTCCGATCATCATCTGTTCTGCTGTGCCGTAAGATTTAGATTAGCTAGGAAGCCGGAAATTGTTGGATTTCTTGCTTTCTAGCTAGTCTTTAGATCTTCGGCTCTGCTTTTAAGCACAGCTGAACTTCCCTTATGACTGAAGGTTCTATTATTCAGTGCAGACTCATGGCAAGCAAATTTGAGAGACTGAGCTAGCCTATGGCAGGTAGATAGATCACTTAATGATTCTGTGAGCAACTCAATCTGCCTGCTTTTCCTGATTTTGGGTAAAAGTTGCTCTTTTTTATAAAAAATTCAATATTTACATACATGATGTGTTGTGAGTTTGCTTGCAAGCAAATTTCATGTGACAGACTGAGCTAGCTGATAGCAGATAGATAGATTTCTGAACGAATCTGTGATTCTGTGAGCAACTCATCTGCCTGCCTGCTTTTTCCTGATTTTGGGTAAAAGTTGCTCTTTTTAAAAAAAAATTCAATATTTATATCAATATTTATAATATTTACATACAAGCCATGCCCAGCCAGTCATATGACCACCAAACCATACCCACAAAGTAGGCCACGCCCACAGAACTGGTTACTGGTCGCTGGGATTTAAAATTATGAGTTTGGTGGTCCCTGAGGTCCAAAAGGTTGGCGACCCCTGATCTGGAGCACTTTCAGTCAGGTTGCAGGCCAAGTAGTACTCCAATGGCACTGACTAAGCTTGTAGATGATCTATAGCAGGAATGGGATGGGGGTGGTGCATGCATCCCAGCCTTCCTTAATATCTCAGAGGCCTTCGATACAACTGATCATAGTATCATTTTGGATATTATAGTCCTAAGTCCCTTCATTCAGCATTACCACAACTTTAAACAGTCACTGAATAAGTCAAGGGCTACTTGTATATTACAGCCTAATAGTGAAATTATGAGTTTACTTGGCTTTTTGTGATTTTCCTGATATTAAAAAGTAATGAAAGATAAGGGTCCTCTGAAGGTGGTATTAACATATAGGAATCTTTTATCTACATTCCCATATGTTAATACCACCTTCAGAGAATCCTTATCTCTAATAATTATGACATTTCCATTTGGGAAACAAACATTTCTGCATGATAATCTGGCAAGTTCTGGTTTGTTGCGTATTGTTTTAGCAGAAGCCCTGTGGAAAGAACTATTGAAAAGTTCAAAATAAGGCACTGAAGAAACAATATTCAATTTCTTCAAAAATATCTTTGTGTACATAAGTTAGTGCAGTTAACACTTCTAAACAAATTATAGAGATGACTAAAGCCTATCCCTTTTACCTGGTTGGTATCCATAATTCTTCACAGATTTCAGTCCCTATGCAAGTATCCAAAGTTGCTAGTACTGCATCACCAAATGGAACGCTTTCCTAAGATAAAAAAAAATGGGGATAGGCCATCAGAGATGAAATAAAAGGAACCCATAACTGGAAATAGGATCAATAAAAAGGAAGATTTTTATCCCAAGTGTGATTAAGACATGGATAGGTACTTAATATCCAAATGCAAAGAAAATAGCTTGTCGGTCAGAAACATTGGGGCAATAACTCAAATGATGTTGGGCAAATGAGAAGGGAAAATGAAATACTTGGTTGCAGGTATTCTAGCCAAGACTCTGAGTAGCTTCTAAAATCATAAAACCTAAAAATGATTAATTAAAACCAGTTTTTAAAAACATCTACAAGAATTACCTTCAGCTCCATTTCTTAATCAAAAATATGGTCTTCACCACATCAGGATGTCAAAAGTATGAAAGTCATCTGACTTTCATGAAATAAGGTCTTTTAAAGGGAAGGGGCTGCCATTGATACATTTCTAAACTTTTCTCAGACTCCCAAGGGGAAGGAATCTGCTCATCTACCTCTAAGGTAATTCACATAATGCGTACATTCTAGCCAAAGATGGTGGTCCCATAGAAAAAAATGGGTTCATGCTGCATAGGGCCTATAATCAGAACTTTGAATAGTACTTGGAAACATGCCTGCTACAGGCTTCATGCTCCTAAAGTGGCTCTCATCTGCTAGCAAGTTGGCTGTCACATGTTATACCAATTGAAGTTTCCAAGTAGCCTTCAAAGGCAGCCCCAAGTAGGAATGAACATTTGCCTTGCTATTATTTTCATAGGTTAAACTTTTCTATTTTGTATGCATCTAATCCAATCCAATCCAAATTTTATTACAGACCATAGACCAGCATATAAGGGCACCAAGAATCTGCTGCTGTTCATTTTTGAATTTTAGCAGCATGAGTTTTAAGAATTCCAAGGGAAGAAGAGATTCTGGGACTGCATTCATTCTGCAAGCAACATGTTGACTGCCTTTATTATACTGTTTTCTGAAACCATAGTTTAGCTGAATTAAAAAGATATCATCTACCAGGTATATGTCTATGAATTGAAGCAGTTTCTTGGGGAAGTGAAACTTCTAAGGGAAAAAAAGTCTACTTGCATATTGGAAAAAACACCATTAGGACTAACTAACTGCTATAGTATGGATTTCATGTAAGACTACTATAAGTTTCAGGTACAAAATATTTGGAAATTATAAACAATACAGTACTTCTTTAGTTTATTAAGTAGCAAAGTTAAATAAATATTTAAGGCTTACTTTCTTAAGTATTAATAAATGTAGGCTGAAGTGAGTTTTTGGATAAAGCCTGTATTTTCAGGGATGGGATTCAAATTTTTAAACAATCGGCTTTGTGGGCGTGGCTTAGTTGGTGGGCATAGCTTGGTGGTCATGTGACTGGGTGGGTGTGGCCAACTCAACATCATTCAGATCGAGGGGTGCTTCTCTTCACCTGGCCTCTCATGACCGTGGGGATGCTGCAACAGTTGTAAGTGTGAAAAAAGGTCTTAAGTCATTTTTTCAGTGCCATTGTAACTTTGAATGGTCACTAAATGAACTGTTGTAAGTCAAGGATTACCTGTACAAAAATACAAAAAGCTTCTTTGTTTGCAAAAAGCTGCCCTACATACCAATCATTAGATTAAAAATACCTGCAAGCTGGAGTTACAAATCAGGCAGGGTGCCTGAGCACCTTGAGGAATTAAAACAGTTAAAATGCAGTGATAACTATCAAGCAGCCAACTCTTGCTCATAAAGTGAAACCCTTTAGCAGAGAGGTTATTTAAGCTCTCCAGAAAAAGCACACCCAGGAAAAGCAATCCTCAGATCCATTTGCACCACTTAAAGATACCAGCTGGTCTCACTCACCTCGCAAGATAGCCTAAGGAAATCATCCAGATTTAAGGAAAGATCACATGCCCCCAGAATGGCAGTAAAAAAATCAGTGCCAAATACCACTAAAGCAGTGAAGGAAGACCCCTTTCTATCTTTTTCAGTTAGAAAAAGAAACCATGAGACAGGAAAAAATTCAAACACAATACAAATAATTAAATGACAACAGTAGCTGTTGCTTTTTAAACCAATTATCAGAACAAATAGACACAGGAACTAGCCAGATTTCTCAACCCAGTTTCTTTTCAGGAACAGAGATCAACCTTTTTCCTTCTAAACAAAGCTGAATAGGGAAAATTATCCCATCAATAAACACAGGATTAAACTTCACCAAAAACTAGTTTTAGACCAAACTCAGAAAGGGTATGTAAACTCATGTTTGAATGTCAATCTTTCTAGCTAGCCAAGAAGCCTTGCTGAATGTCACTCATCTTGGTTCCTTGACATTAAAAGCTTCTTTCCGGCAGTTCTGCTTTGTTATTCAATTATTTCTTCAAAGTGCTAACCAACAGGGGAATATTTCCCCCAACAGCAGTGTAAAAAGCTGAAAACAACCCTTCCCCTTTAAGAAAGTCAAGCTGTCAGGTTTCCAAGTGAAATGGCTATACATATGTCAATTTCAGGCTGGATACCAGCAAAGTACCAGCAAAGGAGAGAAAAAAAACTCCAGAGAAGCTCTGGAGACAGGAAGTCTAGTCCTGCCAAGGATGTAATAAGGGTTAACAGAGAGGCAGTTTTTGTAAGCAACACCACCAATGTAAGGAATGCCTTCCTTACAGGATTGGGCCAGTAAAGTGGAAAAAAACAAAGTATTTCTTCTAACCGGTTTTCTGAACTGCTTAGAAAGTTAACAACCGGTTCTAGCGAATAGATGCGACCAGGTAGAATCTCACCCCTGCTGTATTTTTCAAAACAGGCACATGCCGTCTACAATTTTTTGTATCTTGCTGGTAAAAGATCTATCACTTTTTGGAAAAGTTTAGGAAAAAAGTAAGCAGCCCAAGGTTTATTTTATTTAACTTTTGCTTTAAGTGAGATGCCTTGCATTTCACAGGTATCAGCAAGTACCTAGGTCAAGGAACTATTTTTTATTTAATCATATCTCAAAAGTTAAGAGAAATGAAGCAAGATTAAAAGTTATTGGTTATACAACTGCAATTCCAAAGATGTTAAGAAAATCATCATCTAACTTGGTGTCTCCCAAGTACTAAGCCTACAACTCCAAGAATTCTCAGAGAAGAAAGACTTGAATTTCATTTCAGCCATTCACCTAGTCTTTCAGAAAACAACAACATTCTTGAATCCAGGAAAAAAGAATATTACCTGAGCTGTAATCTCTTGGATCATTCTTGGAAGAAAATATTCTTCTACATGCCTAGTAAAGAAATGCTTTTCAAACACTTTCACATAACACATTTTAGAGACAGACATGCAGCTTCCCTGTAATTCTTAAGTATAGTACTGGTCAGTTTTTGCACAGGTAACTCTTTTACCTCTAGTATTGTTGCCCTTGATTTGGGATACCTTTGTTAGAAATCAAATCCTGGTAAGATCATAAAGGTTTTTCCATCTGTGCAGTTTGAACCTTGTTTCTGTTGCATTGTGCAGTCACAAAATGGCAGATGTAATTTGGGGGATGTAGAATGTTTTTTGAGGTTCAGTGCTACATCATCTGTAAAATGTACCTTTTTTTCTCAGTGGATGCCAAGTGCTGCCCATAGATCATTCACAGCTCACTGTAAGCCATTTGTGGACAATATTACTATCCTACAGTCAGGGGTGGGTTTCTACGGGTTCTGTCCACCTCTGTAGAACCGGTAGCTCTGAAGAGCAGCAGACATAGAACCGGTTCTATGTCTGTTGATGTTTTTGCCCACCCGTTCACCCGGGCTCTTACCTGACCTTTGTTTCCTGCTTTTTCAACTTCAGCTGCAGTTAAAAAAGCAGGAAAAAAGTGTTTTTTCAAAGGCTGCTTCTTTGCACGCAGTGTGCTGATGACGATTTACAGGCGCACACAAGCAGCGTGCAGGGAAGCACATCGTAAATCACTGAACCTCTTAAATCACCGAACCGGTAGTTAACCCTGTCGGATCCCACCCCTGCCTACAGTGCAGCTGACAGGTCCCTTCAGCACCATAGTGAAACATCCTGACATGGCAAATAACCTCTATGCAAAAACACATGGTGTGAATGGAACATCTCTATTACCAGCCAGGCAGGTTGCTCTGAAGGAGGGGACCAGTTGCTGTGAGGAAACCATGGGCAGCTAATCAGAGGTGGGATTCAACTGGTTCTGTCCACCTCTGTAGAACCGGTAGTTCTGAAGAGCAGCAGACATAGAACCGGTTCTATGTCTGCTGCTGTTTTGGCCCGCCCGCCTGCCTGGACTCTTATCTGACCTTTATTTCCTGCTTTTTCAACTGCAGCTGCTTTGTGCGACACAGCTGCGGTTGAAAAAGCAGGAAAAAAGGGCTTTTCCAACCGCTGCGCACTTGCATGCAGCACTGTTCAGCTGTCTGGGCAGCTCAGCAGGTTGTAAATTGTACTTGCGTGACTCGTGCATGCGCGCGTGACACAGAGCGACAGAACCGGTAGTTATACCAGTCGGATCCCATCCCTGCAGCTAACCCAATAAGATCCATCAAAAATGAGTGAGATAGATGAGCACATACTGGTATACTCCAGAGATGCTTGTTGGAAAAGGGTTGAAGAAAAGCTCCTATAATGCCACAAGCAGAACCAGTTCTCAGTTTTATCTACCGATCATTATTTGCATAGAGAACATAGTTTGTTTACATTATTCTATACAAGTTAAGACAATTAGAATCTAGTGTCTTGCAAAGCCATTATATTATTACAGGTCTGCCATCGTTTAGCAAGTATTATCAGCAATGATGTAGAATACAGGGATGCTAATATCCTAAATATTTTCTAAAATAGCAATGTCTTCCAAAGGATCTTTCAATGCAGACTTACAGTGGCAAATATCAAAGGCAACCCAAATGTTCAGACTAATTTGCGCAGAAACAAATACAAAGAGAGGTTACCGTAATCTATTCCAAGGAGTGAACCACCTCATTTCTCGATAGTTTCCTGAATTTGCCAATGCTATCTTTGGCCGTATCAGAAGAATTTTTCTTGATCAAAACAAAAAGAAAACCTGTTACAAGCATATACCATGCAACCAAGAAAAAAAGAGATTTGTTTTAAATGATAACTTACCATATTTGAAAAAGACCAAATCCACTGAAAGAGAGTCAAACATACAAATTCTAGGCTATGTGAACAGAATTATAACAAGAAGCCATGATTCTAGCCTGCCATACTTCTGGTTACATCCAGTTCTGGGCAGCACATTTTAAGAATACTGACACAGAACCATTTTCCAGTGAAGACCCCCCCACCTTTCTCTCTCTCCCTCCCTTTCCTGTCTGTTCATTGCTTCCAAGAATTCAAAAAGTTGGTTGTCACTTTTAAAGGCCTACATGGCTTGGTTCCCAGATACCTACAGAACCATTTACTTCATCAGGATCTGTCTCATGGAGGACTACTGAGAATCCCTACTGTATATAAAGTTATGTGGGTTGATAGCGTGTCTTCTCTGGAATCGCTCCAACATTCTGAAATATTTTGCCTCCTGAAAAAGGCACACCACCTTGTCTTTTACAGGTGAAACTCCAAAAATTAGAATATCGTGCAAAAGTTCAGTTATTTCAGTAATGCAACTTAAAAGGTGAAACTAATATATGAGATAGACTCATTACATGCAAAGCAAGATAGTTCAAGCCATGATTCATCATAATTGTGATGATTATGGCTTACAGCTCATGAAAACCCCAAATCCACAATCTCAGAAAATTAGATTACATGCAATCAATAAAACAAGGATTGTACAGAGAACAATATCGGACCTTTGAAAAGTATAAGCATGCAGATGTACTCAGTACTTGGTTTGGGCCCCTTTTGCAGCAATTACTGCCTCAATGCAGCGTGGCATGGAAGCTATCTGCCTGTGGCACTGCTGAGGTGATATGGAAGACCAGGATGCTTCAATAGCGGCCTTCAGCTCTTCTGCATTGTTCGGTCTCATGTCTCTCATCTTTCTCTTGGCAATGCCCCATAGATTCTCTATGGGGTTCAGGTCAGGCGAGTTTCCTGGCCAATCAAGCACAGTAATCCCATGGTCATTGAACCAGGTTTTGGTGCTTTTGGCAGTGTGGGCAGATGCCAGGTTCTGCTGGAAAATGAAGTCAGCATCCCCATAAAGCTCGTCTGCGGAAGGAAGCATGAAGTGCTCCAAAATCTCCTGGTAGATGGCTGCGTTGACCCTGGACTTAATGAAGCATAGTGGACCAACACCAGCAGATGACATGGCTCCCCAAATCAACACAGACTGTGGAAACTTCACACTGGACTTCAAGCATCTTGCAGTGTGTGCCTCTCCATTCTTCCTCCAGACTCTGGGTCCTCGGTTTCCAAATGAGATGCAAAAGTTGCTCTCACCAGAAAAGAGGACTTTGGACCACTGAGCAACAGACCAGGTCTGTTTTTCTGTAGCCCAGGTAAGACGCTTCTGATGTTGTTTGTTGTTCAGGAGCGGCTTGACAAGAGGAATACCACATTTGAAGCCCATGTCCAGGATTCGTCTGTGTGTGGTGGCTCTTGATGCACTGACTCCAGCCTCAGTCCTCTCCTTGGGAAAGTCCCCAACACTTTTGAATGGCCTTTTCCTGACAATCCACTCCAGGCTGCGGTCATCCCTGCTGCTTGTGCACCTTTTTCTTCCACATTTTTCCCTTCCACATAACTTTCTATTAATGTGCTTTGATACAGCACTTTGGGAACATCCAACTACTTTTATAATTATCTTTTGAGGCTTTCCCTCCTTATGGAGGGTGTCAATGATAGTTTTCTGCACAACTGTCAGATCAGCAGTCTCTCCTATGATTGTGATTCCTACTGAACCAGACTGAGAGATCATTTAAAAGCTCAGGAACCCTTTGCAGGTGTTATGGTTTAATTAGCTGATTAGAGTGGGACACTTTGAGCCTAAAATTGCCCACCAAGCATGCCCACAGAACCAAGGAGGGAACTTTTCAATCCCACCACTGATCCTATCCAACTTGTGGTTGATGAGTTAAACAAAGGCTTTAATTACACTTGGTGAGCAATCTCTGAATGGCTAGCTGATTTTTCAGATCCTTTCCTCTCTCAAAATTTTATGAAGGGTAAAACGCTAGAAATATACTTGTCCTTCATTTTCAATGATCTTCCTTTTGCTCTGGAACTCTTCAGTGTTCTTAGGAACATCCTGGAATAGGCAAAGCTTCAGAGTTATTTATTCATTCTGGAACTGGCAAAATCCTCAAAAGCAATGCTGCCTAAATTTATCTTGCCTTTCCAACTATCTTCTCCATCTCTCCAAAACTCCAACAACAGCTCTATTTCCCACTTTTCAACTTTCTCTTACTCTCTTAACGTGAAAAACTTCAGTATGTGCATTAAAATCTTCATTATTTCAACCCCAATTTTTCTCAGGCTTCATATTATCACTTCCAGGCAGAGCATGACTATCTGGGATCACAGGACAAGATGGCAGACAGCATTTGTTTGATTGTGTGTTTGATTGATGTTCATAGCTGGCCAACTCAATCAAGTGACTCTAGGCAGCTTACAAAACAGTATTTCTAATTACTTACTTGTTTAGAAAAATTACTCTACAGTTGTAACGAACATTCCGGTGCATAACAGGCCTATAGAAGCAAATATATTAAGTTATATATTTCTTTACTTAAAATTGGATCCTTTTTATTTCAAGAATATAAACTGATTTTGGATTGCATTCAAATTTCTGTTTTTTACCACGTGCAAGAAATATTTTTCATTTCTGTTTATATCAATTATAATCTCATTAAGATTATCAAAAGCATATTCCAAAATATCTGTTTGTACTACTGTCATCTATTATATATAAGGAACCAAATATTAATCTTTTAAACTACCTTGTTATTATAAAACAGTATTCACATGTTTAACATCTTTTCAACAAGTGGTGTACTGTAAATCTTACACTTTCTTTAACCACCAACACACTGTAAAAATACTAACTGGTTTCTCTTCTAAAATATCTATCTTTTACTGCAATGATCAGAATACTGATATCTTCACACCACTAGGCACCAGGCACCTTAATCTAGAAAACATAAATAATCTCAACACATGACTCTCCTCCTGATTCTATGTAGCTTACAAAATCTTACCTAAAGCTTGGACTTTGATTACCAACATTACTACTTTTTTCATATTTTAAAGTAAAAATTATCTCAAACTGAGATGAACTGGGATGACTACATGGGCAGTAACATTTTGGCAGCAATAAGAAAGTGGTTTGCCATACCTGTCTTCCATGACTTTTTTTTAAACTTCATGTCTAAACAACAGTTTTGGAATTTCCCAATTATCTGCCATAGATACTAGATACTGTCACCTGATACAACATTTGAAGAAAGATAATACTTAAAATGTTCATTTTGTTAAGAAAACGATCTTTTAACCAGCTAACTTCATCTGAAGCTAGCATTGCTGGGTCTTTCCTACTAAGAGTCTCACTATGCAGTCAAGTAATAACATACTTACATCCCAACGTCACATATTATGTCCTGAGTATCAGGAGATTCTAAAAGCTTAGCCAAAACTTGAAATGAATGTAACAGTATGTCAGATTCATAATAATGATCTGAACAGCCATAGCCACTGAAAATAAAATAAGAGATATGAATTAAATTATAACATCTCAGACTATTTGCATAAAATGGATTTTCTAAACTCATACCGTGTTTCTCCAACAATACGCCCCCCCCCCCAATAGGAAGGCCCACTGTTTTATAGACATGAGGTGAAATAAAACCTCGCCCCCCAAATTTGGGCCTATTTAAAGCATGCATTCCCCATTTCTCATATCGCTTGAACAACATGAGGTGAAGAGAAATGGGGGGGAAGGACGGAGGAGGGAAATTTGCCGTTAGGAGCGCCCCACAGGTAGCCTCGGTTAAAGCAACCCACGGGCAGACTCACCTCGCCACCAGCCACTTCTATCAGCCGATAAAAGCGCCGCAGGCAGAATCGCCTCGCCACCAGCCGCTTCTATCGGCCGAGGGCAAAGTCACCAGCCGCTTCTATTGGCTGTTAGGAGTGGCCTCGTGGCGAGGCGTGGCTGCCCGCCGGGCGCTCCTAACAGCCGTTAGGAGTGGCCCACAGGCAGACTCGCCTCACAAGGGTGCTTCTATTGGCCGATAGAAGCGCTGCAAGGGCAGAGTCACCAGCTACTTCTATTGGCCGTTAGAAGCGGCTGGTAGCGAGGCAAATCTGCCCACGGGTCGCTAACAGCCATTAGGAGTATCCTGCAGGCAGCCACACCACGCCTCGCCACGAGGCCGCTTCTATCAACCGATAGAAGCGCCCCAAGGGCAGTCACCAGCCACTTCTATCGGCCATTAGGAGCAGCCTCGTGGTGAGGCGTGGCTATGAATTGGGTTCCCAACAGCAAACTCAATCATGTATGTATACCTTTGTCAGAGTAAATATCAGACAACCCCAAGATTCCAGTTGCATTTCTGCTTCCTGAGCTAGCCACTCTTCTTCGTCCCCTCAGATAGCCTATTTCCCCTTGCCCTCCCTCCCTCCTGCCCATCCCCCCAATATCCCACCGCAACCACTTGGACGGAGTCCCAGGAGTGTCACGGGACGACGCAATCTGGACACTGTCTCCTCCCTCCCAGGAGGGTTGCTAAAGAAGCTGATTCCACCTATCCACCACTCCGTCCAAGTGGTTGCACTGGAATATCAGGGGTGGGGGGGAGCAAGAAGGAGAGAGGTCGGGGGGAAATAGGGCTATCTGAGGGGACGAAGAAGAGCGGCTAGCTCAGGAAGCAGAAATGCAACTGGAATCTTGGGTTTGTCTGATATTTACTCTGACAACGGTATACGTACGCGATTGAGTTTGCCGTTGGGAATCCAACGCGTAGCCACGCTCCTAACAGCCAATAGAAGCGGCTGGTGACTCTGCCCTCAGGGCGCTTCTATCGGCTGATAGAAGAGGCCTCATGGTGAGGCGAGTCTGCGCATGGGGTGCTCTAAGTGGGGCACGCATGTGGGGAAAATTAAGTCACCCCCGAAAAGACGGCCTAGCCGTCTTTTGGGGGCTCAAAAAAAAATAAAAATAAGGCCCACGGTATCACTATAAGCATTTTTATTCATCCTATCTATATAATAACAATGCTGAATTAATTTATATATGTCTACACATTTATATATATTCATGTGTTAGAGAAACTAGGAATATGTAACAAAATAAGTTGTTAAGATTACTATTTCTGTTTTATTTTTTTTACAAAATTTTTTAAACTACCTAATAACTAAAGCTCTCTAGACAGTTTATAACAAAATACACAAAGAATTTGAACAAAAACATATTCAAATAAAATGCAAAATGAAAGCATCACACAAACATTTATGTTTATATATTATTTATACAAAAAAATTATGCCACCAGATAAAAACTGAATGCACAAATTATCACATTAAACAAGAAGAAAACCTTCTACGCACCAATTCCACCCCTGCTTTCTACAATTTTGTAAACAACAAACTAAAAGACTCAGGGTCCATCCCACCCCTAAAAGGACCTAATGGTAAAGACTGCAACGACAACAATATTAAAGCCAACCTCTTTAACACATTCTTTGGCTCAGCATTTGTAAACAGCAATGGATCATGCCCAGTATTTTCTAGTCGAACCACAGACAATACAATGATCTAATACATATCGATTTTACAGAAGACAATGTTGAAAAAGCACTACGCAATCTAAAACCATCTCTATCTATTGGACTGGAGGGAATATATGCCTACTTATTAAAAAAGCTATCCACTGCCATAGCCGAACCTCTAAACATAATCTTTGAAAAATCTTTCAGGACCAGCTCCTTGCCAAAACTATGGTCACAAGCCACAGTCATCCCCATCTTCAAAAAGGGAGACCCCAGCCTAGTTGAAAATTACAGACCAATCTCTTTATGCTGCATCACCTGTAAAGTCATGGAATCAATTATTAACCAATCCATTATCCTCCACTTAGAAACAAACAACCTACTCTCTAATAAACAATTTGATTTCAGGAAAAAACTATCATGTAATCTGCAACTCTTACACTGCAAAAACATATGGACTACACAACTCGATCAGGGCAAATAGACACAATCTACATAGACTTCTGTAAAGCCTTTGATTCAATGGTACACGACAAACTACTCCTAAAACTAAAATCTTACGGTATCTCTGGACACCTGCATAACTGGATAGAACCATTCCTGTCAAACAGACAACAAATGGTCAAAATTGGGAGCGTCCTATCAAATTCTGTACCTGTCAACAGTGGTGTCCCCCAAGGCAGTGTTCTAGGACCAACTCTTTTCATACTCTTCATAAATGACCTCTGTGATCATATCAAGAGCAACTGCGTTCTCTTCACTGATGATGTAAAGCTATTCAACACCACAGGCAATACTGCTACCCTTCAAAAAGACCTTGACTATGTATCAGAATGGTCAAACAAATGGCAACTTCAAATCTCAACAAATAAATGCTCTGTCCTACATATTGGCAAAAAAAATCAGAAAATAAAATACAGGCTGAATAGTCAAGACCATGATGTGATGATCCAAACTCTGTCAAGGATCTTGGAGTACTCATCTCTAATGATCTAAGTACTAGAGCCCACTGTAACTACATAGCCAAAAAGGCGTTAAGAGTTGTTAGCCTAATCTTACGTAGCTTTTTCTCTGGTAATATTACACTAATAACTAGAGCATACAAAATATTTGCTAGACCAATACTCGAATATAGCTCATCAGTCTGGAATCCACATTACGTATCTGATATTAGCACAGTTGAGAAAGTCCAGAAGTATTTCAAAGAGTTCTCCACTCCTCTACTCATTGCAGAATACCTTATGCCACCAGACTTGAAATTCTAGACCTGAAAACCTAGAACTACATCGCCTTCGGTCCGATCTAAGTATAGTATATAAAGTCATACATTGCAATGTCTTACCTGTCAATGATTACTTCAGCTTCATCCATAACAAAAGAATAGCAAACAATAGATACAAACTCAAGGTTAATCGCACCAAACTTGATTGCAGGAAATATGACTTCAGCAACAAAGTGGTCAATGTCTGGAATACTCTACCTGACTCTGTGGTTTCTTCCCCAAACCCCAAAAACTTTAACCTTAGATTTTCTACTATTGACCTCACCCCTTTCCTAAGAGGTCTGTAGGGGGCATCCATAAGCGCACCAACATGCCTACCGTCCCTGTCCTATTGTTTCTTTTATTTTTTATTTTTCTTATATGTATCCATGTATTCATAACTATGTTTTTACTTATACCTATTATCTTGTAAGCAATTGACAAAAATAAATAAATAAATAAAAATAAAACAAACAAAATGGCAGTAAAGTCTCATTCAAATTCTAAAACAATATGAATCAAAATAGTTAAAATACAATTTTAAACCAATTAAAAGCTGAGAAAATTGAAAGATCTAATTTTGGTACCCAATTTTTGCTAATGTGGATGTCACTGAAAGCAATAACGCTTTGGAAAATTGGTCTCATATTGCATCATTTTAAGCCAGATTTCCTTATATAACTCATCCATGGTCTACTAGTAGAATAAAATTTATAGTCTACCAACATCTTCAATTCCACAATTGTGAGTGAGTCTTTATTAAAAACCTCATTGCTAAAAATTTGTCTTGAAGTACACCTATTGCAATTTCTATATAATTTTTCTTCAAGGCATACTTCAGGACAAATATTTAACATTTAAATGTGTAGACATATACAAATTGAATGGAATAAAATAGATTTTAAGTACATTAAAAGTTGGGGGTAATGGTTTACTGGTTTATACAAACAAGTTGGGAATTACTAACCAAATTTCAAGTTCTGGGCCGAGTCGGTATCTTGCTCCTTTTTCTTTAGCAATTTCAATACCTAGGATATTAAATTAAAATTTTTATTCATCTTCAATACGTTGTCTAAGAAAGCTTCCCATGCTTTGAAATATAGGTAGTATTACGTGTATCCTTTAATTTTGCAAAGGAAGAAAACATTTGAGCAAGAGACTGAGAACACAAGACAATTGAGATTTTTGGGAACCTTGTAAAACCAAGTTCCTATTTCTCATACTTTCTAAAAGCAAGTTCTTAGCTCAGAGAACAAGTAAGTTAAGATTTCTTGTAGTTCAAAAATAGTATAATAAAACTGCTTTCCACATCCTATTGCTCTCTCTCAGCCCAACTCGCCTCATAGGCTGCTTGTTGTGGGGAAAATAGGAGGAAGATGTGCTAGCTTTTATTACTTGTAAAAATAACAAAGACAGGATACAAATTAATAAAATAAAACAAAACAATTATAATGCAATGCAATATATAATACATGCAAGAAAATGTTATGGGTAATAAACCAAATGTATATCTTACACCAGGGGTAGTCAACCTTTTTATACCTACCATCCACTTTTGTATCTCTGTTAGTAGTAAAGTTTTCTCTAGCCACCCACTGGTTCCACAGTAATGGTGATTTATAAAGTAGGGGACAAAACCTCTACCACCCACCATGAAAGCTGGAACGCCCACTAGTGGGCGGTAGGGACCAGGTTGACTACCACAAAGAAGTTGATAAACTGAATCTGTGAAGCAATGAGAATTTTGAGGAATTAAACAATTTAGTGTTGTTGTTTTTTAAAACTGAACACCTCTTCTTCTTGATATAGCAAATTACTATATTGGGGAGGGGAAAGTTCTATATAGCCCCTCAAAACAGTAACAATAATATAAAAATTGTAATAATAAACCATATTTTCACCTGTGTTTTTATATCCAAACTAATGAACTGTAGGGCCTAAAGTATTGGACTACTATTGAGGAAACCTGGATTTAAAAAACTCAATGCCTGCAATTGGGTCAAATTTTCTCAGCCCAACCAACCTCAGAGGGTTCTCTAGTTCTTTGAATAAAATGAAGGGATGCCTTTTCTTCAGATAAAAAGCTAGCAGAGGACAGGCAAGCAATCAAGCTATATAAAATAAGATTGTGCATGTAAATTAGGGAGAATCAGCAATAGTTAGGCTTGTAGAACTATAAAAAGCTAGGACTAAAAAAAAAAAAACAATTACCAAGCTGTAATTAACTACCATACCACTCCGAGAGCCAGTTACGGGGTTCTAAGGCATCAGGCTACAAACCTAGGAGCCTGAGTTTAATACTGCCTTATCACACTCTCAGCCCAACCCATCTCACAGTGTGGTTGTGGGGAAATTGGGGGGAAAGAGGATTAAGTATGTTCGCCTTCTTGCGGTATTTATAACAATAAAGGTGCGATATAAACATATCAGTGCAGATTTGGAAGGTGGATGGATGAATAGAAAACAATCAGTGTATCCAAGATGCATCCAGAGTCACCTTTCTTATTTTAATTATTGCTAATAAACGTTAACTTCCACTGCAAGTAACAAAAACAAAATCCATCTTCCTTTGGAGCTGCATTTTGCAAACAGCCCATACGTAGCCTTCGGCTTACTTTTGAAAATCCTTTCCAGGTTGCCATCAAAATCCAGCGCCCACTGATTCAAGGCACACGTTGCCACGGTCACTGTCCTGCCCATGTTGTCTCCTGCCCGCCTTAACTTTGCCCAGGAGAAAAAGAAAAGCGACTTCTCCTCCGCCGCTGCGACCACCACTCCCCAAAGCAACTCTTTTACTTCCGGTAGTTTCCTCCTCGACTCTGCGCAGAGAGGAGGAGGGTTTCAAGCGGTGCTATGCAGCAAGTCTGGGACCTGCTTCCGGGTGAAAGGCAGCGTTGAAAAAGAAAGAAGGAAAGAAAGAAAGAAAGAAAGAAAGAAAGAAAGAAAGAAAGAAGGAAGGAAGGAAGGAAGGAAGGAAGGAAGGAAGGAAGGAAGGAAGAAAGAAAGAAGGAAAGAAAGAAGGAAAGGAAAGGAAAGGAAAGGAAAGGAAAGGAAAAAAGAAAAGAAAAGAAAAGACAAGACCCTATAAAATTTGCAAAGGGTTGGCAAAGAATAAGTAGAGTAAGTGTTTTCTTTGCCGGGAGCTGTGCTCCCTACTTGCCCTGCATTGTTTCGCGTGCCAATAGTACTGGGAGAAACTGCCAGGGTGAGGAGCAAAAGTAAGCTTTCATCTAAAAAAATAGTGTCTGGTAGACACTAATGGACTTTGGGAATGGCAAGGATAGATGCGGGTTTGTTTGTTTTTTAAATAAGCCCGATCTCTCCTGCAGTTTTTTTTAGTCTCTTCTGTGACTTCAAAAATGTAAAACACAAACAATTGATGGGGGTGGGGGTGACTGTGCCGATAGCTTTATAGCAGGTGTCTATGGAGATTCTCAGTCATCCAGGTCATGGTTGTCCCCAAAGTGCTTTTTCAAGACACAACTGGACTTTCTGGTTTTTCTTTGAAGACATTTTACTTTTCATCCAAGAAGCATCTTCAGCTCTGATTGGAATGTGAAGAATGGAAGGATTTACATTCCTTGCAGATAGCTGGTCATTTGCATTCTTTTAGCCATGAATTAAGGTCACCTGGAGGTTTAATCTGTGTGGTCAGGAATTAAGGTCACCTGGAGGTTTATCTGTGTGGTCAGGGTCACCTGAGTGGTGCAAATGGGTGTAGAGCTTTCTTGGAACTGTTGAAAGGACTGTGTTGTAGATTGGAGATAGATGATGTTGTATCCTTTCCCACCTGTTGAGAGAGGGCTGTTCAGTTTTGACATAGATGGCATCTTTAACCTTTCTTTCAAACCAGCAGTCTGTCTGTCCAAATGTGGACTTTGCTGTCTTCAAAAGAGTGGCCTGTGTCTTTTTAAATGGAGATGGACTGCTGATGTGTTTGTTCTCCTATGTTGTGCCATGCACTTATGAAGTGGTTGTTTTGTTTCCCCAATGTACAACTCTGCACATTGCTCATTGAGTTGTACTGCATATATCATGTTGTTCATTTTTTGTCTGGGTGTTTTATCTTTGGGGTGGACAAGCTTCTGCCTTAGGGTATTTTGGGGTTTGAAGTGTGAATGTATGTTATGTTGGCTGAAGATTTTTCTGAGCTTTTCCAATACGCCTGCAACATACGGAATGACCACGTTGCTTTGTTTCTTGTTCTCTTTGTTATCTGTTATGGAGGAGCTCCTGTAGCGCAGTTTCTAGCTGGGTGTTTCACTCATGCAGTCATGATCTCTTAGGACAGGAGTGTCAAACTCAAGGCCTGCAGGCCAGATCCGGCCCACAATATGGTTAGATCTGGCCCACAGCGCTACCCTGGAAATAGCAAAAGACCAGCCCCTGGTGCCTTGGCCCTGCCCTAGTCTGGCGAGGCATTGATCTAAAATTTGGTGGTAGCCATCCAGGCTGGAACGCGGTCGGCCTTAGATCTGTGGGGTCACTCTGGGGCCAGAGAGCGGCTGCTCCCCGCCCCAACCCTTGGACGTATGTTGGGAGACAGTGAATTCCCCCCAGCCCCACCCGGGCTGCCATAGGCACCCCCCCCCCGATGCAAATTACATTGAGCTGACCACACCCATCCACCCATGACCACCTGGCCCTTCGAGGTCAACCACAACCCTGATGCGACCCTCAATGAAATTGAGTTGTTCACCCCGATTGCCCAGGAAGTCGTTCAAGCAGAGGAAAAGATAAAAGTTTCCCCTGTCCAGTTGTGTCCGACCCTAAGAAGCAGTGCTGATCTCCATTTCTTTAGCCGAGGGAGCCAGCATTGTCAATAGAGAGCTATATGTGTATATACGGTGGTTAAAATCTAAAGTTCAATTGCTTCTCAACAAGATATTTCAGGGGAACTGCTTCTGCCTGTGCATTTAGAATTTCCTATCCCCCTTAAACTTGGTATCGTTTAGCATTTTAAGCCCTAGTATGTTACTCAGCTTTTGCTAAATTCATTAAAACCAGATTTTCTGCTATTGAAGGTATGTATTAATTTATCTCAGCTCTTTTCCTTTTAAAGTTATCTTAAGCACTAATATGAAATTTTCATTTCACTCCATAGATTTATTCTTTTCTTATACTGTGTCAGGATTGAGTACAGGTAGGCCTCGATTTACGACCAAAATTTCTGTGGCTAAGTGAGACATTTGTTAAGTGAATTTTATCCCATTGTATGAATTTTCTTGTCGTTAAGTGAACCGTTGCAGTTTTTAAGTTAGTAGTTTGTTAAGTGAATCTGGTTTCCTCATTGACTTTGCTTCTCAGAAGGTCACAAAAGGGGATCACGTGACCCTGGGAGACTGCATCTGTCATAAATATGAGTCAGTTGCCAAGTGTCTGAATTTTGATCACTTGACCTTGGAGATGCTTCAACCGTCATATGAAAAACGGTCATGTCATTTTTTTTCAGTTCCGTTGTAACTTTGAATGGTCACTGAATTGTAAGTCAAGGACTACCTGTATAAGCGAGGTGACCCTCTAAGTTGATTATACTGCTTAAAAATATGTTTATATTTAACATATATTAATATTGCATACTTATATATTTATATATGGCAATCCCACTTAGACTTATACACCGCTTCACAGTGCTTTACAGCCCTCTCTAAGCAGTTTACAGAGTCAGCATATTGCCCCCAACAATCTGGCTCCTCATTTTATCGACCTTGGAAGGATGGAATGCCGAGTCAACCAGACTTATAAGTATATATTATATATAATTATATATAATATTAATGCATCTTATATTAATATATTTAAATGTTATATTTTTATAAAAATATATATAAAAAATAAACCCTCAAGTAGCTCCAGGAGATCTAGGGGAGTGTGCTACAGACCACAGATAACTACAAAGCAATATAATCCTTCCATCTCTCTCCCTCCCCCAGTCCAGTTGCCTTTTGGAAAAGCACCTTTGAGAAAACCTGCATGACTTGACAATCTCCACAAACAAGTTGCATAAAAGCTTTTTCGCCCATTTGTGAGTTCCCTACTACGCATATACTGACAAATGATAGGTATCATCAAATCAGGTTTTATTTGTCTCTTTCATGTCATAGTTCTTTAGTTAATTCATCTCTGGAAAATGCAATTCTCAATTTTTATTGTGGGTGGTTGAAATTTGACTTTAGAATCATACGAACGTAATCTAACATTTTTACTGATCTTCTATTTCCAAAACAGAACATTCAAGCAATCATATAAGTAGCTGAAACTAATTTCATTAACCAATAATTTCTCCAAAACCTGTATCTGCTGTGAAACTTAAGAAGCAGCAAAATGTTTGGAGAAATATGTAGACCAGATGTTTAAAATGGAATAAAGAATGTGAGGAAGCAATGCGGGGCAAATAATTTTTCTTTTAATTCCATTTTTAAATTCATACATTCTACTTGATCAAGGATTAGTAAAAAGTTCAGTAAACATTCCTCCTCTTTCATAATGTTCACGGAGTGGTTGTTGCCATGGCTACTGAAATCAGCTTAGCTGGTTTGAGGCAGCTGGACCAATCCAGCAAGGAAGCATGAGATGATGCTATAAAGTTGAAGCAAGTGATTGGGCGGTGATTACAATATTCATTTAATGGGGGCGTGGTTAAAAGAAGGAAAGGTGAAAAAGGATTGGGGCATTTTACGTTCATATTCTTTCTCTTTCTCTCTCTCAGATCAAACGAAGGAGTTATTTCTTTATCTGAAGCTGAACAATAAAAGTACAGGTAAGGAAAATTAATAGACTTCTAAGTAGTCTGCTTCATATTGAATTAATAAGTAGTAGAAAAGCAAGCTGATTGGGAAGCTGTTGCATTTATTGTTTTGTATGGTGCATTTGTGGGATGAGAGCAAATAGGCAGCAGTCTTTTGGAACATTTGCTTATAAGAAAATAATACTTGCAAAATGTATTTCTCTTTTAAAATTAACATTATATAAGTTTTTGTGTTTACAAAAACCATCCTGAATTCCTCTGAATGCTTGAAGATTTATTTTCTTTGTTTTGTATTCCTGGATAAAATATTTTTATGATGTTATACAGGTAGTCCTTGACTTACGACCACAATTGAGCTCCAAATTTTTGTTGTTAAGTGAAACGTTTTTTTAAAGTGAATTTTGCTCTATTTTAATTTTGCAATCCATTTTGCCAATTTTACCCCATTTTACTTTTCTTACCACGTTTCTTAAGTGAATCACTGCAGTTGTTAAAGTTAGTCACACAGTTGTTAAAGGAATCTGGCTCCCCCATTGACTTTACTGGTAAGAAGGACACAAAAGGTGATCACATGAGCCTGGACACTGCAACTGTCATAAATACATTTCGGTTACCAAGCGTCTGAATTTTGATCGCATGCCCATGGGGTTGCAGCAATGGTCATAAGTATGAAAAATTGTCATAAATCAGTGCCGTTTTTTACGTTTTTTCAGTGCCGTTGTAACTTTGAATGGTTACTAAATGAACTATTGTAAGTTGAGGACTGCCTGTATTGAAATTAATATTTTTAAAGTATAGTAAATAGTAATAACTGATTAAAAACACAGCTAATTTACTTCTTCAGAACAAAACGTACCTGATAGAAAGATTATGTACCATCTAATTGGTGTTGACTAAGAGTTTCCCAAGTCACTTCAAAGGCAGACAGAAAGCACATTGTGTAACTGTATCTTTTTCCTTTAGAATATTTTCATAAGATCTGGCCTGCTTATTTGCATTGTAAAAAAATTACAAAATAATGATGCTGAAAATATACTAATTTCCAAAGTTCATAATATAGAAAAACTTCTTATTTAATGGACATTCAGGGAAAGCAAGATATTCATTAAATTCAAATGTCCATTAATTCTGTGTTAACATTATTGTATCAATAAATGTACAGTAATATGTAAAGCCGTGTACTTGTTATAAATGGCATCTTTTGTAATAAAGCTTTGATTTAACAATACTCTCCATGAGGGACCAGCTGAGCTAAGGTCACTTCATATTTGGGGCACAGTTGATCAGCAGATCTGACTCATAATTAGAAAAGCCAGGTGAAACCAGTTGCATTTGCTCCCTTTCCCTTGAAGAAGATTTGCCTTATCAATCATCAATCCATCAATCAATCGGAATACCTCCAATCCTTGGAGGTTTCTAGTCAGCCCCCCTGCTCAAGCAGGAGACCCTATACCATTTTAGACTGGTGATCGTCCAGTCTTTTCTTAAAAACCTTCAGTGATGAAGCACCCACAATTTCTGAAGGCAAGCTGTTCCACCGATTAATTGTCCTCACTGTTAGGAAGTTTCCCCCCTAATTTCAGGTTGCTTCTCTCCTTGATTAGTTTCCATCCATTGTTTCTTGTCTTGACTTCTGGTGCCTCGGAAAATAAGTTGTCCCCCTCTTCTTTGTGGCAGGCCCTCAAATACTGGTATACTGCTATCCTGTCACCCCTAGTCCTTCTTTTCTCTAGATTGGCCATACCCAATTTCTGCAAAAGCTCTTCATATGTTTTTATCTCCAGGTCCTGAATCATTTTAATTCCTCTTCTTTGCACTTTTTCTAAAGTCTCAACATCTTTTTTGTAATGCGGTGACCAAAACTGGATGCAGTATTCCAGGTGTAGTCTTACTAAGGATTTATAAAGCACTACTAATACTTCACGTGATTTTGATTCTATGCCTCTGTTTATACAACCAAAGATTATGTTAGGTTTTTTTTGGCTGCTGCCGCACACTACTGGCTAATGTTTAAGTGACCATCTATTGAGACTCCAGGGTCTCTCTCACAGTTACTGTTTTTGAGCCAAGTTTCTCCTAATCTGTTCTTGCACCTTTGGTTTTTCTTTCTAGCTATAAAACCTTGCTTTTCTTCACATGAAATTTCATTTTGATGGATAGGGCCCACTATTCAAGTCTATCGAGATCTTTTTTGGATCCCGAACTAGTCTTCTGTGGTGTTGGCTGTTCCCACCAGCATAGTGTCATCTGCAACTTTGATGAGGTCTCCTTGTTCGTAAAGAGATGTGGTAGATAAGAACATGGACTGATGGCTCTGCAAGTACATCCACCATCAGGATATACCTTGTAATGCAATAACTTAAGGACCATTTTGTTTGCCAAGTTTTAGTTTTGCTTTTGAGCTGTCTATTAATATATTTTTATGTATTTTATTGCTTTTAAAATAGAAACAGTAAAAAAGGAACAAAACACAAAGATAGATACATTATCAGAAAACTGCATAAGTGTTTAAAAATTAGTGGAAAAATGCAACAGAAAAAAATAAAATTAATGTATAAAGCGTGGCTTCAACGGTAAACGGTTACAGTTCTCAACGCTGCCATGAGAGTCCAGGAATGGGTTAAGCTCCTCCTTCTGATGTCATAAAGCTAAGTCTGCCACTAAAAAGCCAGCCCCTGGCTGGCCCGCCCATCTTTTGGCTCAGCTTCTTGTCTGAGAGCTAGTCTCTGGAAGGATTGTTTTTAAATAGCTAAAAGAAAGTTTGAAATCAGGAGACAGCAAATAATTGAAAAATCCAGCTCCCGGGGCTCCAGTAGAGCTCTGTCTCCAGGAGAGCGGGGATCTGTTCCCCTGCAGCATCGAGGCTTCGGTACTCCCTCATAAAGGGCTACGGACCCAGGGAGCCTTCATTGAAGCTTCCCATGCAGCCCCATCGATCTTGGGGCTCGCTGCTGCTGCCTGAGCTGCTTCACAGCTGACTCTGGAGCTTCATTCTACTGCTTCTCAGCTGTTTTGCTACGATTTGATCGCTCAAGGCCTGGTAAGAGCCTATTGAGTGAAGGAGGTAGTGAAGCTGTCCCAGAGCCACTACACATGGTGGGCGGCCCTCTTGTTTAGCCAGGCAGCCATTTTGTTGGGCCTCACAGTTTCAGAACTTGCCTGGCACAGAGCAACGGGAAGCACCTCAGTGGGGGAAGCTCACAGCACCCTTGGTGTCTGTTCTGTTGCCAATATGGAAAGGGAAGCACCCCAACCTGGCCCCAAAGAATTGGAAGAACACCAAGACACACAAGCCCCTTTGAGAAAGAAAAAAAGACAAAGAGGCCCTTCTGCCAACAGACAAAAATCTGTTACAAAAATGAGAGCCAAAGCCCTAGCTCCTAGACAGACTTCAAAATTGGAGTTCAGGGCTGAGAAGAGAAGGCATGCAGCCAATGAAAAACAGTTTGAAAAGACTTTGGCACAAATGCAAGCACAGATTCATCAAGTCTCTCATCCTGGGGAGGTGCATGTTGGCCCTGAGGTTTCTTCCAAGAGGGGTGAATTGGCTTTCAGTTACCTGTTAGCTTGGTCCCCTGAGAGAGTGGAGGAAGATCAATTTCCCCAAGACTTGAGCAGATCACAGCCTTCCTCTAGACAGGCTACCTGGGGGCCTGGCTATTCTTTCCTAGGGGCTTGGGTTCACAGGGGGCATAGGCTTAGGCCTGAAGAAACCTATACCCCCACTGCTGCGGGCCTACGTTCGGAGAATAGGCCTGAGGACATAAGGGAAATGGTCTCTGTAGCCATTAAGCAGGGCCTAGCAGAAGGATTCAAACAATTCCTTCACCCTCCAGGAGGAGGCCCATCTTTGTTAAGCCAGGGTCTTCCACAAGGGGTCTTCCATTCTCAGAAGGGTGTTCCCAGACATCAGTTCTGTTTCCAGCCCTCCTATTCAGAGTGGAGGGAGGAAGACTATTCCGAAACATCTGACCATAGCCACTCTGGTCTGAGAGAGAGGAAGAGGAACTTATAGACCCCAATATGTCTGAGGAAGAGGACCTCAGAGTTAATCAGCCACCAGTAGCAGGGGTTTTTAGGCCTTCCTTATTCAAGCCCTTGTTTCACAAGGCTTTGGTCACTGCACAGCTAAGCCCTGAGGAGGTGGCCCCTGAACCACAGGCATCTACTTCTGGCCACTCTGACTCACTGTTCTCGAAGCCAGTGGTGCATGTGGAGGTTCTCCCCTCCCCTCTCATATTCCTTGATTTAGTGAAGGAACAGTGCACCTCCCCAGGGGCGGGACCTCGCCTGTCTGCTAATGACAGGCGTTTCTACATTGTGGGCCCGTCCCTGGACAATGCCCTGGTCGTACCTTCAGTGGATGCCCCGGTGGTGGCCTCATTTTCTTCCTCAGGCACTCCCACTGAGCCAGAGGATGTCCTCAAGACAGAGGAAACGATCTGAGCAAACTTTCAAGCGCACTCAAGCACGCAGTGGCTTGGGTGATTAGAGCATCTACGGCCGCCTCATTTTTTACGAGATCCTCATTGCGCTGGCTTCACCAGCTTCAGGAGAGGCTTCCAGCCACCAAGTTCAGGGCCCACCAAGACATCAATAAAATAACTACAGCAGCGGAGTTTACGGCAGATGCCACCCTGAACTCAGCCAAGTTCTCTTCCAGGGCCATGGCTTCTTCAGTAACAGCCAGACGACTGCTTTGGCTGCACAACTGGCAGTCCAACTCACACCGAAATGGAAATCGGCATCAGTTCCATGTGCAGGCAATAAGCTGTTTGGCGACGTCCTTGACCCATACTTGACGTAGACCAAGGACCAGAGGAAGGTCCACTCCTCAGCAGGGAAGAAGCCCGAGTATCGTCCCGGGCCTTACTATTGTCCCTTGTCCTTCAGATCCAATACCAGCCCTCGGTTCTCCAGAGATCAGAGGTCCTTCCCTGCTCGTCAGGAACAGTGGCCTGAAGCTTCTGGCAGGCATCAACATGCTCCTGGTAAATGGCCCTTTCGAGGGGGAGGGGGTTGTTCATTTAGACGCTCGAAGTGAGTGCCCCATCTCCCCCCCCCCCATCAGAGGCCATTTGGCTTTCTTCGCCTCCAGATGGGAGGAATCTACATCGGACGCCTGGGTTCGTGAGACGGTGAGGTACAGCCTCCAGTTGGAGTTTCTCTCCCCACCTGCACGTTGGTTCATCCGCAGTCCCACGTCAAGGGGAAGTTCTAGACGGGCTCTTATGGAATCAGCAATCCAACATCTCATCGACATACGAGCTATTCAACCAGTTCCTGTAGATCAACAAGGGCAAGGCTTCTACTCTTGCCTCTTCGTGATTCCAAAGGCCTCTGGGGGGCGGCAAGCTATTTTGGATCTGAAATTATTAAACATATTTATCCCATACAGGTGCTTTAAGATACATTCTATCCTTGAGAGCATTCAAGAGGGTGACCACCTCTCCTCTATAGACCTCACGGAGGCTTACCTCCATATCCCTATCTGGCCTCATCACTGCCAGTTTCTCCATTTTTGTTATCAGAACTCCCATTTCCAGTACCGGGCTCTACCCTTTGATCTCTTGTCGGCTCTAAGGTCTTCACGCAGCTTGGGTGGCTTTGCTTCACACCATACCAGTTAGGGTCCAGTGCTACCTGGATGATATACTCATCCAGTCTCAGTCACTCCACTCGGCCCATCGCGACCTTCACATCAAAATACAGAGTCTATGAGACCACGGGTTTTCAATCAACCTATGAAAAGTCACCTTTCCCCGACAGCCAGGTTGCTCCACCTTGGGGCAATTATAGACACATCGCTCTGTGAGGTGTTTCTCTCCCTGGATCGAGGGGAGTGCCTTCACAGCTGCATCCTTCAGATTCGGCAGCTGAACAATGTTCCGTTGTCTCTACTGTCCCAAACCCTGGGAAAAATGATCTCCTGCATTGGGATCGTACCATGGGCCCATCTCCATGCCCAGGAACTCCAATGGTTCTTGCTCCCCTTTCAACAGGCAGGAACTAGGAACTAGCCATTCGACATGAGGGCTCAGGTTCTTCCCAGGTCATACGGTCCTTCGCATGGTGGCAGTCCCAGGCCCTAGGGAGGGGTCTTCCCTTCAAAGAGCCAGACAGGATACGTCTCACCACAGATGCCAGTCTCCATGGCTGGGGAGCTCATCTGGAGGGAGAAATTGCCCAGGGGTGTTGATCTCAAGCAGAAAGGACATGCCCCATAAACTGGCTGGAGCTTAGGGTTATCTTCCTAGCCCTGAAACACTTTTGGACCAGGGTGGCTGGCAGAGGTCCTCAGGTTTTTACAGCATGGCCTAGATAAGGGACTTGCCCCTAACACACTTCGCCGCCAGGTAGCGGCTTTTTCTTCTGTTATTTCCTGGAACAGATATGATTCCTTATCCCACCACCCTTCGGTGCGTAGGTTTCTAAGGGAAGCCTCTAATCTCCAACCTCCTGTGATACATAGGTTTCCCACTTGGGATTTGCAAAAAGTTTTACAGATTCTCACGAAGTCTCCTTTTGAACCTCTCAGGACTATATCTCTATGGATGTTGTCCCACAAGGTAGTATTTTTAGTGGCCATTACTTCGGCCAGGAGAGTGTCCGAACTAGCGACACTTTTGGTGTGTCTTTTCTATCAGAACAGGGTAGTTCTTAGGTTAGACCCTCACATTTATCCCTAAGATAAACACTTGGTTTCACCGGGCTCAAGATGTTGTGCTTCCATACTTCTGCCCTAGACCACAACACAAGTTAGAACATAGGTGGCATAAGCTGGATGTGAATCTGAAGCCGACTTCTGATTTGTTCCTTGTCGGAGTCAGAGTGGAATCTGCGATCATGTACGGTTTCACCGAGCTCACTTGCTGGAGGGTCCCAATCAGGACCAGAACCACCCTGATGGGGTGGTGAAGAAGTGGGAAATCACCTGGAGGGTCGAGGGGAGTCACAACTCCCCTCCCTGACAGGAAAATCCCTCCCAAAGGCAAGCTGCAGCGGTGATCCTAAAATGGCTACCACGAAGACAAACAACACTTTGGGAAACTAAGTTTTGTGCTGGAGCAAAGAAGTAGCGAGCAGAGTGTGAACCAGGCAAAGGACATCACTTTTGAGGTACCCCGTTATTAAAATAAAGGGCTATCTTGGAGGGAAGTGTGTGGAAGCTGTGACCAGAGAAAGTGAAAAAGAAATTGGTTTTTATAAAACTTGGATTGGATTACTCTATTGGATTAATTTGGAGGAGAAAATTTAAAGGAAAATACTTTAACACAACAAAGGTTTATAAATTAAACTGGATAACTATTGAATTATGGGCACTTAAAATGGCATAATTAAATGCTGAAATTGAGTGTGTTGGGGAAAAAAAGGTGATTGAAATTAGCGAACTTAATAAAATATTATATTCAATAAAGAAAGTTAAAGGTAAAAAGACTCAAGAGTGCCACCTGATGGTACAGGAAGCCTTCAGTACATTTTTAAAGGTGTCTGGTCTTCTCAAGAGTTTGGATTTTGGAACTTAAAAGAAAATAAAAGAAACTTTAATATTGTTATAGAACTATCTGAACAAAGACTCAAGAGTATGGATTGTTGAAAATAAAGCCAAAAGATATTGGCTGAAATAATATACTGGACTCTGCGATTGAATATATCTATTAAAGAAGAGGATTTTAACTATTAAGGAAGAGGAAAGAAAAAGAAAAAAAAAGGAGAAAATATATTCGTTGATATAAGACTGGACTTACAAGATACAAGATTGGATTTGCAAGATATAAGGGACATGATAAAAATTAAACTTGAAATGTGCAATTATGTACTACAGAAATTAGAAATGGTGACTCAGCATACACAAGAACTAAATAAATCGGAGGGGGAAGAGTTCTATAAAGAAGAAGCCAACACTGAAGGACAAAACGAACAACAATTATTTAAACAGTGGGGAAAAGGAATTAGAATTAAAAATTTGTGGTCTGATGGGATGATAAAAGGGAGAATGGTTCGGAAAATGGATAAAGGGAGAGGGAAAAAGCAGAAAAAGGAAGGACAAAAGAAAAATCAAAAGAGGGAGAAAGAAAAGTTAAATAACTAGAAATGGAGGAGAATAAGAATGGGGAAAAGGGGAATTAAGAGAAAGGACCAGAAAATAAAGAGGAATAGAAAACAAAAAAGGATGAAAAGAAAGTACATTGTCCAAAGAGTGAGACATAATGGGTGAAAAAAAGAGGATAAGGAAGGAGATTCCGCAAGGTAATATGTTGTGATGTATAAGAATATATTGAAAATAGTATTTTGTAATGTATAGATGATTCATAAGGTGTTTGAGAAAATATAATGCGGAATCTGAGAAAAATATATATATTTGTGTTATATACTAGATAGAGAGATTGATATTAAGGTAGAATGAAGGTGGTTAGCTTGAATTATTAACCAGAGGGGACAATTATATTTACAGATAAGGATTGATAAAATGACAAATGTGACAGGAAAAAGTAATATGAGAAATGACAACAGAAATGAGATGAGAATTTTAGATAACATTGTAAAATAAGATATGAGAATGTATTAATATAACATGAATTGGAATTGGATAAGATAAGCTTAATATTTAACAATAATAAGGATGATGCAATATGAAACTAAACAGATAAAATGAACAGGTAACTATGATCATGTTTGTATTGAGATGTGAAACCTGGAACTACACTGCTTGCCAAATGAGAATTTTCTATTAAAAAAAATAAAATAAAAGCAGGGAGAAAATTGAATAATGGAATTACTAGGTATGCTTAACTGATATGGTGGTAGGCATTTGGAGAGAGTTTTGAAAGGTTGAAAATAAGCATTGAAGGATTATGAATTAATGTGAATATATGCATTGAGAGATATGATTGGTATTATTAATTTTGCCTATACTAAAATGTATGATATATTGATGCCACACTGTTAATGTATTGTTGTGCATATGCAGATTGAAATAAAAAAATTTGGGGGGAAAAAAAGGAAATCTGAAGCCATGTTTGTGTCATTTCATCCTTCTACCCTGGGGAACAAGGTGACTTCAGCGACAATTGGTAGGTGGATTAGAGCTTATATATCCAAGGCGTACCAAACTTTGTTCATGCCAGTTCCCAGACACATTATGGCCCACTCCACTAGGAGTGCAGCTACATCTGCCAACTGGTCTACTCAAGCATTACTGGAGGAGATCTGCAGAGTGGCTACCTGGACTTCACCTTCGCCGTTTATATGGCACTATCACCTGGACTCATTTGCTTCAGCCCAGGCATCGTTTGGATGGAGGGTACTTCAGCAAGTGGTTCCTCAGTCCGAGTGACTGACCCAGACATGAGCCCTCCCATGGTCATGCAGGCTTTGGTATGTCCCATTCCTGGACTCTCGTGGCAGCGTCGATGAGAATGGGCATCGGTATAATTACCTGAGAATGCCCTTTCTATCTACGCTGCAAGAGAGTCCAGCCCCACCTTGTACGTCTAGTTATGATGGTTGGGGAGGGGTGAAATTAATTTCTTGTTTATCTTCCAGAGACACGTTATGTCTGTCAAGTATCCTCGCCTAAAAGATGGGCGGGCCAGCCAGGGACTGGCTTTTTATAGTGGCAGACTCAGCTCTATGACATCAGAAGGAGGAGCTTATCCCATTCCTGGACTCTCTTGCAGTGTTTAGTCAAAAGCTGACATTTTTTTCTCCCATAGTTTGTTAGCTATGCCACATGAACCTTGTCTTATTTTTCTTAAGGTTGTTAAAACCAGAATTATGAAAAATAACTAAAGTTGCATATTACATAATTGGACATAATATTTGATAAAAGAAAGGCTCTTATACTCACGAATTTTGTCATATTTGTATCACCTCTTCTGCAGCTTCTAATGGCATCTCATAAAGACAGCCATTTTTTTGAAGGAAGAAAAAGTCAAAGTGATCTAAATGAAAATGGAGCCTCTCATGGAGAATGGGGTAGAGCATGGTAAGAAAATCTGCCGTGTAGTGACTATAGCTATGAAATATCTGTACTTATAAAGAACTGTACAGGTCAGTTCTGTAAAAGAGGCAACTACTACTGAATTTTAGGGGGATTTGATTGATATTTAAAGGAGGGAGGGATGTCATAGAGTATTTAAATTTACCTCTTTGAAATATTTATATGCTGGTTTTCTGTTGACACATCCAATGTAAAGGTAAATGTTCCTTTTGTACATATGTGCTAGTCATTTCCGGCTCTAGTGGGTGGTGCTCATCTCCGTTATAAAGCCGAAGAGCCAGCGCTATCCGAAGACGTCTCCATGGTCATGTGGCCGGCATGACTAAACGCCAAAGGCACACGGAACCCTGTTACCTTCCCACCAAAGTGGTCCCTATTTTTCTACTTGCATTTTTACATGCTTTCGAACTGCTACCGTGTTTCTCACATAATAAGGCCGGGCCTTATTTTTTTTTGACCCCCGAAAAACCGGCTAGGCCGTCTTTTCAGGGGTGACTTAATTTCCCCCCCCCTTGCATCCTCGGGTGGGCGGGCGGCGACAGCTTGGATGTTCGGGAGACCTTCCATCACCGTTGTTTTCCCTTCTCCCTTGCTGCCGTAGCGTTACAGCAATGCCGCGGCGTTTGGCGCAGCCATGTGCAGCCAGTCAGGGCTCCTCCCTGCAACCGGAGCCCTGAGGAGACACTTGGCTTCAGGCGCTCCTGTGGCCGCCTTCCCTTTGCCTTCGAAGGTAAAGTGAATTATTTTAAAAACCTCCGCTCATCCCATCAGAGCCGTGCCGGAGCCGTGAGAGCTGAGCAGAGCCAGGAAAGCGAGCCGCGGATGTTTCCTGGTTCTGCCCAGCCTGTACGGCTCTGCCGCAGCCCTGGCGGGATGAGCAGAGGTTTTTAAAATAATTCACTTTACCTTCGAAGGCAAAGGGAAGGCGCCGACAGGAGCGCCTGAACCCAAGTATACCAACAACAAAAGGCAAATCCTCAAGGTGGGCTGGAGGGAGGTGGCTACGTGCCCCCCGGGCTGCTTCAATGCAAGGTCCTGACTTGCAGCATCCTGCCGTTGCCGCCGCGTCCTTTTCGCCGCCGCCTCCCTCTCCGACTGCGAAACTCGTGTGCTTCACCAAACGCTCCGAGCAAGGCGAGCTCTTTCATACATAGAGAGAGAGGGAAAGACGCCGGCGTGCTCCGAGAGGCTGGCTCTTTTCTCTAGCCGAGGCCGTTGGAGCTGCCACCGCCGTTTGGAGCTGCCTCTGCTGTTTGGAGCTGCCTCTGCCGTTTGGAGCCGCCGCCGCCGTTTGAAGCTGCACCACCGCCACTCCAAACACGGCGGCAGCTCCAAACACGGAAGCGGCAGCTCCAAACGTGACGGCGGCACTCCAAACGGCGGTGGCGGCTCCAAACGGCGGCGGTGGCTCCAAACGGCGGCAGCAGCTCCGCTTCCGTGTTTGGAGCTGCCTCTGCCGTTTGGAGCCGCTGCCGCCGTTTGGAGTGCCGCTGTCACATTTGGAGCTGCCGCTTCAGTGTTTGGAGCTGCCGCCGTGTTTGGAGTGGCGGTGGTGCTCCAAACAGCGGCAGTGCTCCAAACGCGGAAGCGGCAGCTTCAAACGGCAGTGGCGGCTCCAAACGGCAGAGGCAGCTCCAAAAGGCGGCAGCAGCTCCAACGGCACTCCAAACGGCGGTGGCAGCTCCAACGGCACTCCAAACGGCGGTGGCAGCTCCAACGGCACTCCAAATGGCAAGTCCCCCCACCCTTCCCCCTATTTTGCATGTTTTAAACTAGGCCTAAATTTGGGGGGAGGGGCTTAATTTGATTTTATGCCTAGAAAACATGCTGGGTCTTCCTATTGGTGGAGGCCGTATTGTTGGAGAAACACGGTAGGTTTGCAGAAGCTGGGACAAGTAACAGGAACTCACTCTGTTATGCGGCGCTAGGGATTCGAACCGCCGAACTGCCAACCTTTCTGATCGACAAGCTCAGTGTCTTAGCTATTGAGCCACCAGGTGCCTGTGACACATTCAAGAGTAGTTCATAAAACTGGATATTTTTCAGCAAATACTGTAATTGTTAAGGGCAACAAAACATTAAAATTGTTCGAATCATTATTCTGTTCAGAGTCAGCCATTGACAAAACTGTTCCAGTATGGTTTTGAGGTTTATTTTTTTTTGTAGGGGGAGTAACAATCTTTATGTATCTTTTTCAGGAAGGCTGACTGGTTTTCTTTGATAAGTGTCATCTTTCTACTCTTGTTTTGCCCCTTTATTGTCTACTATTTTATAATGTCATGTGATCAGTACCATTGCTCTTTGAGTGAGCCAGCCATCCAGTTGCTTACGGGAAAAGTTCACCTCTTAGATATCTGGGACAAGACACCACCTTTCTCTTGGAAAGTTCTAATCCTTTACTTTTCTTGGGTAATGTTCCAGGTACGTATCTTGAAGCTTCTCTGTTGGAATCCAGTTATCTGGATCAAAATTAAGTCTGTTTTTTAAAGTTACATTCTAAAATTGTATCCTTACATGTGAAAATGTGGAAAAATAAGTTATTAACAATCGTGTGTTTGGATGTTTCTGGGAATAATGCTAACAATTGAGATCCCTGATTTTTTTGAGGCATTTCTCTGTCTTGCTCTCTTTTATGTTTCTAATACTTCCAAAAGATTATGACTGGCAGACGAAAATGAGAGACTTGTAGCCTTCCAGAAGTGATTAAACTGAACTTCCAAAGCCCATTGCCATTCATTAGGCTTATGGACTATATCAAGGATTGTTATTTCAATCATATTTGCAGGGCAATAGGTTCCGCATCCAGAGTTAAATGGTGATTTGAAATAAACTAACAGACACTCATTTGCAGTCTTTAGTTGTTATTTCTGTATAATTTCTATATAAATATTATGGTATTAGCAGCTAGAAATTAAATGTTGTCCGTAATTTCAGTACAAAAAAGATCAAAAATTAGATCTTATACCTTTATACTATTAACCTCTCTTTAGTCTATGCCCTCAAATGAGTTATACTAAAATATTCACAGTTCTATATATATTTCAGCTACATTTTTAAACAGCTACGCTATTATGTGGAATTGGGATATGAATAAGTCAGTTCGGAAAAAATAATTATATGGTCAATCCATAATTTATCCTCCTACAAATGTACCATTGTGCAACTTTAATTCACTTGTAAAGATACGGGCTTATATGTTTATTCTGTTATAGGCATTTTTGTTTATGATTCCTGACTTTTGCCATAAATTTATTCCTGGATTTCAAGGAGGAGTACAAGAAGGTGCCATTTCACCTGCTGGTAAGACCATTTTTATTGTATCAAGTAATTGAAACTGGAGAAAAAAGTGCATGACTCAAAACGTTATTATCTGCTTATTTAAATGATACAATCATTAATCCCAGCTGTCAGGATTCCGGCAGTTATCTCAATTAAATCATAAGTCTCAAGTCAAACTTCCAAAACTCCAAAAGCATTTATTGGGAGTTAATATGTCCAGCACTGCCTGGGTATAGCCAATTCTGAGACACATAATTCATTATTACCCTTGACCCTGGTTTTCCCCCACCCCCTGGGTGTATCATAATTCATATTGTCCAATGCAGGGGTAGCCATCCTTTTGGACTTTAGGGACCACCAAACTCATAATTTTAAATCCCGGTGACCACTAATATGAATTCTGACTGATGGTGGCTTGCTGACATTGGTGGGAGAGAGAGAGAGATATGATCTAACCTCTCTTCCTCCCTCCCTCCCTCCCTCCCTCCCTCACACACATACACATACACACAAACACACAGAGGCAGGGGTGGGATTCAAATTTCTTAACCGGTTCTATGAGCTTGGCCTAATTTGTGGGTGTGGCTTGGTGGTCATGTGACTGGCTGGGCATAGCTTGTATGTAAATATTATAAATATTTATATAAATATTGATTTTTTTATAAAAAAAGAGCAGCTTTTACCCAAAATCAGGCAAAGCAGGCAGATTGAGTTGCTCACAGAATCACAGATTCATTCAGAGATCTGTAAGGTTGGCTACCTGAACCTGTCACATAAAATTTGTTTGCAAGCAAACTCACAAAATAAACTCACAACACACCATGTATGTAAATATTGAATTTTTTATAAAAAAGAGCAGCTTTTACCCAAAATCAGGCAGAGCAGGCAGGCAGATTGAGTTGCTCACAGAATCACAGATTCACTTAGAGATCTGTGTTTCTGCCATAGGCTAGCTGAGTCTGCACTGCTTCAGTCTTAAGGAATCAGGCAGAAAGCAGGAAATCCAATGATTTCCTGCTTTCTAGCTAATCTAAATCTCCCGGCACAGCAGAACAGATGATGGTCGGAAAAAGAAAAAATAGCAACTTAGCAGGCAAGTTTGCCAGGAGGAAGGGCCATGTGGGTGGCACAGTTCCTGTGCAGCCTGGATTAATTGCTTTGGGGCGGGTGCTCTGGGGGTGACATTTCTCTGCGGACCACCAAAATTCTCTCACTGGTTGGCAACCGCTGGTCCAATGAGATACATCCATAGCCAAGAGTCATCAATCATGTTCTCCAGTTAGAATTTTGCGAGGCAGAAAGTTCAGTCACCTAGTTACTATCTTTGAAAACTATTTATGGAATGCACTTCAGATTTCCAAGCTGTTGCATTGCTCTTTCAAACTCCTTTCCCTCCTCCCTTTCTGTTAGGAACTCTAAAAAGACCATAAAAATATTTTATGAATTGACACCAACCATATATTAGCCTACATTTCCTTCTCATTCTCAGTTGCTCCAAGAAGTCTTTCTGTCTTAAGAAAGACTTATTGCTGCCTGTTACACTTGGACATGTGTAATATTGCTTTTGTCTGTTTTGAAAGGCCTTGAACCTTGTTGATAAATAATTACACATTCCCATATTCATTGCTTGTTACTTGTATCTATCTTCTTCAAAGCTTCTGGAGCAGGGGTAAGCAATTAATTTTCCCAAGGGGTCACATGGGAAACTGAGACTGTTGTGAAGGTGCGTAAACACACAAGTATGTACATACATAAATTGAAAAAACAACAACTTTGAAATAAAAGCAATACAGTTTTATTGCACTCATGGCATACACTTATTTACATTTGATTTCTAATTTCCCATTGACCTCACACAAGCCAGACAGGGACAGTCAAAGAGCCAAATGTTACTTGGCATTAAATTCACAGATTTCCTGGATAAACATTTAAACTGAACAGCGGAGACAGAGAATTAATGGATTCAGAACATCTCTGTCCCCAGCAATCTAAAACTAATAAGGATACCAGTGCATGCAAAATAGATGTTTGTGCAGGTAAGATTATTAACCTTGATGCCAACCAAAACCAAGCATTTACTAGTGAGTGCCATACCATGTGCACTAATCAAACAGGTGGCAAGAAAGTAGGGACAGGCAGGCACAACACAGGCTATGGAGACAGTAAACACAGTGTCAGACATAAAGATCTCAAGTGCCTATATACAAATGCACAAAGTCTGGGGAACAGACAGTGTGAACTCGAACTACAAATACATGAAGGTAAATATGATATAGTTGGAATAACAGAAACTTGGTGGGATGAAACCCATGACTGGAACATATTGGTAGAAGGATACAAACTATTCAAAAAACAACAACAGACCCCATAAAAGAGGAGGTGGAGTTGCACTGAATGTAAAGGACCACTATATTGCTACAGAAATGCATGAAACCAAAGGTGAAAACCTTCAGAATGCATATGGATCAATATAAAAGAAAAAAAGAATGACATGGCCATAGGTGTATATTATAGGCCACCCAATCAAGCAGAAAAAATAGATGTCCTTTTTGCCAGCCAACTAACAAACATATGCAGGAAACACACAACAATAGTAATGGGAGACTTCAATTATCCTGATATCAATTGGAAAACTAATTCTGCACCAAGTGAGAAATCAAATAAGTTCCTAACCAACCTAGCTGACAACTTTGTTGTCCAAAAGGTAGAGGGTGAAACTAGAGGGACAGCCATACTGGACTTAATTCTTACAAACAGAGAAGAAGTGATAGAGGGAGTTGAAACTGCAGGAACCTTGGGTAAGAGTAACCATGTCATACTAGAATTCAATATAACACAAACACAAGCAACAGAACATAATGACACCAGAGTCTTGGATTTTAAAAGAGCTGATTTCAATAAACTCAGAGAGAACTTGGGAAAGATTCCATGGATGAAAATCCTAAAGGGGAAAACAACTTAAGAATCTTGGGAAACTCTAAAAAGTATGATCATAGAAGCCCAGACCAGCACAATACCACTGAGAAAGAAAAAAGAAACCCAAGAAGAAACCAGCATGGCTGCACAAAGATCTCTCTGGCAAATTGAAAGAAAAAAAGGACAAGTACAAAAAAATGGAAAGAAGGACATACAACTAAGGCAGAATATCAGCAGATAGCCAGAATCTGCAAAGACGAAGTCAGGATAGCAAAGGCTCAGAACGAACAAAGACTTGCAACAAAAGTCAAAGATAATAAAAAAAAAAGTGTCTTCCAACATATAAATAACAAGAAAAAAATCAAGCAAACAGTTGGTCCACTAAAGAGAGAAGATGGCAAGGAAGTAACAGGGAACAGAGAGAAAGCAGAACTGCTTAACTCATTCTTTGCATCTGTCTTCACGCAAAAAGAAACTATAGCTCAACCCACCAAAAACATAACTGTAAAAGACAGACCAGAAATAAAAGTTAAAATAAGCAAAAAAATACTAAAAGAACACCTGTCTGATCTTGATGAAAACAAATCACCGGGGCCTGATGGATTACATCCCAGGGTTTTAAAGGAGCTGGCAGAGGTCATATCAGAACCACTGCACCATATCTTTCAAAAATCCTGGAGCACCGGGGAACTACCAGAGGACTGGAAAAGAGCTGATGTGGTTCCCATCTTCAAAAAAGGGGGGAAAAACAGACCCAGGAAACTATAGACCAATCAGCCTAACATCAATACCCGGGAAGATACTGGAAAAGATAATTTTTAAAAAAAACAGATCTGCCAACATTTAGAAACAAGTAAAGTAATAACTAGCAGTCAGCACGGGTTTGTTAAAAACAGATCATGCCAAACCAATCTTATTTCATTCTTCAACACAGTGATTAAATTAATAGACCAGCAAAATACTGTGGACATAATATATTTAGATTTCAGCAAGGCATTTGACAAAGTAGACCACAACCTACTTCTTAGTAAGCTAGAAAAAAGTGGAACAGATAGCACCACCACTAGACGGATTCGCAACTGGCTGGCAAACCGTTCTCAATGAGTAGTCCTTAATAGGTCTAAGTCTACATGGAGATAAGTAAGCAGTGAGGTGCCACAAGGTTCCATCTTAGGCTCAGTACTCTTCAATATCTTCATTAACGACTTAGATGAGGGAATAGAAGGGGAACTTATCAAATTTGCAGATGATACTAAGCTGGCAGGAATAGCTAACACCCAAGAAGATAGGCTCAAGATCCAGATGGATTTTGACAGACTAGAACACTGGACCATATCTAATAAAATGAAATTCAATATAGAGAAAAGTAAAGTCCTACACTTAGGCAAGAAAATCCAAAAGTACACATGTAGACTAGGTGAAACCAGGCTCAATAGCAGTAACTGTGAGAGGGATCTTGGAGTCTTAGTGGACAACCAGCTCAATATGAACCAGCAGTGTGAAGCAGCAGCCAAAAAAGCTAATGCAATCCTAAGTTGTATTAACAGAGTCAAGATCAAGGAAAGTACTAATATCACTCAATAAAGCCTTAGTAAGACCACACCTAGAGTACTGCATCCAGTTTTGGTCACCACATTATAAAAAAGGTGTTGAGACTCTAGAAAAAGTACAGAGAAGAGCAACCAGGATGATTAGGGACTGGAGACTAAGGCATATGAAGAACAGTTACAGGAACTGGGCTTGGCTAGTCTAGTGAAGAGAAGGACCAGGGAAGACATGATAGCAGTCTGCCAATATTTGAGGGGCTGTCACAGGGAAAAGGGGTCAAGCTATTTTCTAAAGCGCCTGTAGGCCACACAAGGAATAATGGATGGAAACTGAACAAGGAGAGATTTAACCTGGAAATAAGGAGAAACTTTCTGACAGTGAGAACAATCAACTAATGGAACAGCTTGCCCTCGGAAGTTGTGGGAGTGCCATCACTTGAGACTTTCAAAAAGAGATTGGACTGCCATTTGTCAGAAATGGTGCAGGGTCTCCCATTTGGTCGGGGGGTTGGACTAGATGACCTACAAGATCCCTTCCAACTCTGATTATCTGTTATCTGTTAAATGTGGCTCGGGGCTTTAAAATGCCCAAGTTTGCTCTGGAGGGATGAGTCCTCTACCCTCCTCCCCACCTCCCCAAAAAACAAGTTAGGAGTATTACTGAAGCTGGACACAAGATGAAAACTGCTGGTAATTAAGCAGAGAATTTATCTCTTCCTATAAAGAGGTTTTTGTTTGTTTGTTTGTTTTTCAATAATGACAAACATCTGTAGTTCGGGTATAGGATGAGGGTGAAGGTTCATTCTCTGAGCTTGTAAGTTGGTTTTCGAACGTTTTGTTACCAGGCAGAATTTAGGGATATCAGTGTCAGTGGTGAGTGTGTCAAGTGAGGATCTTGTAATGGGTCAGCTGTGAGTCATCAGTGAGACTTGTGATGGATCTTGTGATGAGATTACATCAGGTCAGGGTCATTGGGAAGTGAACTGCTAGGGGGCGGTTGTGTGGGTTGCTTGAGGGTTGGTGCTGTCTCTAGTTGGCTGTGTGGTTGATTTGGATTCTGAGAGGTTCATAGGCTGGTTCAGTGGTGGTATTTAGCAGGTTCTGACCAGTTCTGGAGCACCAGTAGTGGAAATTTTGAGTAGTTTGGAGAACCGGCAAATACCGCCTCTGACTGGAGATTTTACAGTATCCTTCCCCTGCCACGCCTACCAAGCCACAGCCACAGAACTGGTAGTAAAATATTTTTAATCCCACCACTGGGCTGGTTGTAGGTAAATTTTCTGTTGATGGAATTGCTTGTGGAATGCTAGGCTTTGATGAACTCACAAGTTTGGCAAGTAGTAGTGTGGCTGATGATTTTTGTGTTTCTCCAATTGAACTACTGCTTTTGGTGTCAGTATGGGTAGAGATTTAAGGATTTGGGATTGTGGCGTTTGACTGCCATCTGGTATTCGTGGATCCTGGTTTTTAATTGACGTGATGTTTGTCCCACCTAGAATTGGTTGCAATAGTTACAGTCGATTTTGTGGATTAAATTGTTTCTTTCATTCTTCTGTATTTTGTCTTTGGGTCTGGATAATTCCTGGCACAGTGTGTCACGTCAATCATTTTGTTCATACACATAGACTCCTCAGATGCCTTTTCAAACATGTCATTCTGAAGACCTCTAAAACCCTTAAGATAATTAAATAGGCAATTTCCAAAAGTGATTAGAAGCATGATTAGCAAGTATACCTTTTAAAAGGCTCTGCCATGGTTAAGAACTAGATGATTGATCCCTTCATCTCCCAGCACCTAAACCCATGGGAGACCATTACCCTTTGGTCTCCCCGTGAGGAACTGCTGTCTGGAGTACATGTGGGTGATGTCCTGTAGTCTCCTTGTTCAGAAAAGTTCTAAAGAGTCAATATATTCACTGGTTCTTCAGCCTTTGCCTAAGTTGTGTTCAACTTGTCATGCCTTCACCTATTGTTCTATTGTTTTCTGTTTCTTAACTGCTAGTTATCCAGAGTTCTTTTAGAATTGGACAGCCTCTGAATCATCATCATCATCATCTGTTTCCTTTCAGGTTTCAAACTCAAATATGAGATTAACGGACTACAAGCTTGGCTTATAACACATGCCCTCTGGTTTGCAAATGTTTACTACTTCCAGTGGTTCTCACCCACCATCATTTTTGACAACTGGATCCCACTCTTCTGGTGTGCAAATATTATGGGCTACTTGACGTCCATATTTGTTTGGATAAAAGCCTACTTGTTCCCTTCTAATGCAAAGGATTGGTATGTTGATATTATTTATATTACTATAAATGTAATAATTTGATGAACACTGAATGTTTCATTCTAATCGGTAAAGTTAATTAATCCAGAAGCTACAGTATTTCTCTGCCTTTCTTTATGTTGTAATTTTACTTGCTACTTAAGTTCATAAATATCTAAGCATGTCATTTCAATTCCTAAAGTTTAATAATGTTGCAAAATCATTTGTATGTGTGCAGCTTATCATATACAGATTCTGTCTGTCTTAAGCATTGAGGTCTTCTAATTGTGGGGTTCTAATAGGGTAATATCTGGAATCCGCACTGTATATCAGACATTAATACAATTGAACGAGTCCAGAAGTATTTCACGAGAAGAGTACTACACTCCTCTGCTCGCAACAGAATACCCTATATCACCAGACTTGAAATTTTGGGCTTGGACAATCTTGAACTACGCCGCCTATGGTTGGATTTAAGCATAGTACACAAAATTATCTGCTACAATATCCTACCAGTCAATGATTACTTCAGCTTCAACCGCAACAACACAAGAGCACACAACAGATACAAACTCAATGTTAACTGCTCCAAACTTGATTGCAGAAAGTATGACTTCAGCAACACAGTGGTCAATGCCTGGAATGCACTACCTGACTCTGTAGTTACATCCTCAAACCCCCACTCCTTTAACCTCAAACTATCCACTATTGACCTCACCCCATTCCTAAGAGGTCTGTAAGGGGCGTGCATAAGTGCACCATCGTGCCTCCCGTCCCTGTCCTATTGTCCCCATTTAATCGTACCTATTTTCTCTATTCTTACTCATGTTTATATTTATGCCTACTATTTTGTAAGTGATTGACAAATCAAATAAATAAATAAATAAATAGTTTTTATATCAGCAGTGTCCCCTTTAAGTGCCTTGAAAGAAACAGTAATTCTTGAAGAAGATATGCCTGGAATTAGTGTCCTATTTCCAATATCCTCTTTTTGAGTAAGGTCCTTGAGAAGGTGGTTACTTTACAGCTTCGTGCATTCTTGAAGGATATGAGTTATGTGCACCATTCCACTTTGATACCATTCTGGTTTTGGCATTGAAACTTGTTTGTTCACACAGACAATGTGCTCTGTGAGAAAGAATGGAGAAGTGGAATTCTGTTGATACAAATCCTAGATATATTAGCAACTTTTGATACCATTGGTATGGTATCATTCTGAATGAATTATATAGGCCAGAAAGTTCTTCCTAAGTAGATTTTCTCTATTTCCTGAATCAGCTCCACAGAAAAGCATTATGCTATTTGTGTACAGTCTTGTAGGCTGTGGAATTCCTTCTGCCATCTTTGTTGTTTAGCATCTATATAAAACTAATAACTAGGTCATTAAAGGATTAGAATTAAGTTTTACTAGTATACTGAAGACAGCCAACTTTATTTCTTCATTCTCAGAATCAGTTAAGACTGCAGATATTGGAATAGATGCTATAATGGATGAAACTTAATATCTTAAAAGTGGAATCCTGACAAAGTAGAGACTTTATGAATTGATACTTCGTGAAGCCAGGAATTAAATAGGTTCTCCACCCTGGGCAGAGTTGTACTGCTCCTAAAAGAGCATGTATAGACCTGTATTATATAGCTGGATTCACCTCTATCGCTCTATCTAATCCTGAAAACTGCAACCTTTCTGGATAGAAGTGGGCTGGTCTCATCCTCTGATAACCTCCCATTTGGATGATCATCACATCATAAACAGGTCTACCATTGAAAAAGACTCAGAAATTACAGTCATAGGGCATGCCTTGCAATACTCTTCAGAGACAATAGTAAAAATAGTATTAGGATCAATAGTTTCTCAGTGTCTACCTGTCCAGCTGTTAAATTCTGTAAAGCCTTCATAAGTAATCCTCAACTTACAATCATCTTGGAACCTGCCCATAACAGTCAGAAACTATGATGAAAGTGGGCCACCCATGTGACTGATCCAATTTTATAACATTTTTTGCAGTGGTCATTAAGCAAGTGCCACAGTCATAAAATGACTACTGCTCTCATTAAGCAAACCCATTCACTATGGGGCATTTTTGATGAAAACTGGAAGTAAACACCAGGTTTTAGCAAAAACACTGTAAATTGTGGTCATGTGACAGCAGGATCCTGTAAACAGCCATAAATGCAGGCTTCTTGCCAAACAATAAATTTGTGGTCATGTGACGGGGGGGCAACAATTGTAACTTTGAACTTGGTGAATTAAAAGTTCTTTGAGGAGGTTTTGTCATAGTTTGAATGGCCAGTTATAAATCAAAGAGTACTTGTATTTACCCTGGAGCCAGGTCAATACTGACAAACTCTGTATTACTATTAGTATTACTCTTCTCATCACTCCTTATCACCCATCCCCTCCCACTTGTGATTGTATGACTATAACTTTGTCGCTTGTATCCTAATTTATATTGACTGTTTCCTAGTATGATTTGATTGCTTATTGTACCCTATGACTATTATTAAGTGTTGTACCTTATGATTCTTGACTCTTGACGAATGTATCATTTCTTTTATGTACACTGAGAACATTTGCACCAAGACAGATTCCTTATGTGTCCAATCACACTTGGCCAATAAAAAATTCCATTCTATTCTACTCCACTCCACTCCACTCCATTCCATTCTATATTATCCACCTTTTGGGGGTCAGTTGAAGATTCTTTTGGTAATGAACATCAGCTCTCATCTGGAAGTTATGAGCGCTGATACTACTTTTATTATAAGGTTACAGTAATAGAATCTTGCAAGTCTGAATATGCTACTCCCTCCCTGTTTTTGTCCTGACAAGAACTAGGGAGGGTCAAATCTAAGATGTTCTCTCAAATTATATTTCTGCCCCAGACTCAAATTTTGTTCTGACATTTGTATTGATCTCTTGTTTCTCAAGGGTTATTCTGTCTTCCCGTTACACTGAGCAGGTTATAAATATTTGAAATGAAAATAAATAACATTGTAATTAAAGTCAGTTATTTGAAACAGGCTAATCAGTAATGATGTCCATTTTGTTTGTGAGTGTTCTTGCAATTTCATTTTGTTTTCAAATTAATATATAGTAAACTTTGTTCATCCTCTTAATATTCTATTCTAGCAAATTCACTGGCAATTTCTTCTATGACTTCATGATGGGAATTGAATTTAATCCACGCTTGGGAAAGTGGTTTGATTTTAAATTGTTTTTTAATGGCCGACCTGGAATTGTAGGATGGACTTTGATTAATTTATCCTATGCTGCAAAACAACAGGAATTATATGGGCAAGTCACTAATTCTATGCTACTTCTCAATGTCCTACAGGTAAACATTAATACATGGATTAAAATTAAATGCTATCAACCACAATTTTCTCCATTTCCTCAGGTGATACATCATAAGTGTGTGTGTGTGTCTATACACAAAAAGATAGATGTGTGTATTACATGTGCACATCATTTTTATACCTGGTTGCAATTTAATCAGTTTCTTAACTCTTTCATGACTCTTAGTTTCCCAAAATTCTTCGTATATCAGTACTACCACTTACAAACTATTCTTCACAAAATAATGACCAAAAATTATTGGAGTTGTGAAATATCTCAATATGCTACTGATTTCAATCTCAAAATCTCATAGGTTCTCATGCGAGAATAGAAAAATTTCATGCAAGAGTTCACAAAACAATATTATAGCTAATATCTGTGTTGTTTTGAATGATTTTTTTCCACTCATACAACAATGAAAACATTAAAATCTCTGATTTATAACTCGTTATATTGGAAGGTTGTGCTTGGAATGTTCCTGCATTGTGACCGTATATAATAATTAGGCATTAACATACAATAAAAAATTAAAATTAAAGAGAACATTGTCTATGGAGATTCTCAATCATCCAGGACACAATTGTCCCCAAAGTGTTTTTTCCAAAAGCCAACTGGGTTTTCTTAGTTTTCATTTGAAAACGTTTTGCTTCTCATCCAAGAATCTTCTTTAGTTCTAAGTGAGGAGAATGAAAGGATTTATATTCTTTGCAGCAATTTCATAATTAGCACTCTCAGGGTTGGTTGTTAGCTCTCCAAGAGCAGTTGAAGCTACATGGGGGTTTATATTTGAGTCACTTGAATCAGAATGCAAAACAGTGTGGAACCTTTTTGGGACTGCTGAAACAACTGCATTGTAGCGAAGAGACAGGTAGTGTCATATCCCTCTCCCTCTGATAAGGGAGGGCTGTTTAGTTTTAACATAGATTACCCCTTTGACCCTTCTTTCAAACCTGTGGTCCTCTGTCCAGAATATGAACTTTGCTATCTTCAAAAGACTAACCCTTTAACTTCAAAAGCAGATGGACTGCTGAATTCTATCCTGATGAGTTTGTTCTCCTGTGTTGTGCCATACATTTGTGACGTGGTTATTATTTTTTTTTCTCCGATGCACCAGTCTGCACATGTCTTGCTGCACTGTACTACATATACCACATTGCTCAGTTTGTGTCTGGGTGTTTTGTCCTTAGGTTGGACAAGCTTCTACCTTAATATATTCCTGGGTTTAAAGGGTGCAAGTATGCTGTGTTGGTTGAAAATCCTCCTGAGTTTTTCAGATATTACTGCAACGTATAGAATGACAATGTTGCTCCGTTGTTTGTTCTCTTCTTTGTCTATTTTGAAAGAGGTCCCTGCTGGATCTTTTTGTGGATTTGATGAAGGCCCAGTTAGGATAACCACAACGTATGAGGACTTCCTTGATGTGTTTTTGTTCCTTTCTTCCCCTCTTTGCTGATAGGCATACCTTTAGCCTGGTGATGTACGATCCTGATTACTCCCAGTTTGTGGTCCAGTGGGTGGTGAGAATCAAAATGTAAATAGTGATCTGGATATAGGTTTTCTGTATTCTTCAGTTTTGAGGCTTGATATTTTCCTTAACTTCTTCCCATGTAAATTTAATGTTTCTGTCCATAGTGTTGATGTATTTGTTCAAGGCTGCCACTTTCTGTGTTTTATTCTTGATTCAGGTGTCATCCACATATCTATACCAGTGAGTAGGTGGAATTAGATGCCTTCATTAGAATTCAGAAAGTGGAAGCCTTCATCAAACACATCAACAGAAAGACTACACGGGAAGATGTTAAGGAAAATAGTCTGGCCTTCTTGGATTGTGCAAGTACACATCAAGGAAGTCAGA